TTGTACTGCATCAGCTACCACACCAGTTAGTAATTTGAAAGTTGTTGGTAAGCAGGTAATTGGCCTGTAGTTACCTGGTGTTGCCCCTTTTGCTGGATTTTTCATTATTAGGTAGGTTTTCCCAGTTGTTAGCCACTTTTCAATTTCTCCTCCTTGTAGTATATTGTTGAACTGTTTGGCAATGAGTGGGTGTATAACAGTTAGATGTTTCAACCAAAACCCATGCAGTTCATCTTCACCTGGTGCTGACCAATTTTTGATTTTCTTTGCTCTTTTTTCTACCATTTTTGTTGTTATTACTAGTTCTTTCATTTCAACTTCTGTTTTATTTGCATCCACCTCTTTTAACCAAGCCGCATCCTTGTTGTATTTCTTTGGGTTATCCCATATCTGCTTCCAGAACTGCACTGTTTCTTCCTTGTCAGGTACTGACTGATTCCTTGCAGTTTCTCCATTGATGGATTGGTAGAAACGTTTCTGATTGGATTGAAATTGGAGGTTCTGCCTATAGTTTGCAATTCGAGCTTCATATCTACTGATTTTCCTGGCTATAGCTGTTATTTGTTGCTTTATTATTTCCAGTGCTTCCTTGATCTTCCTTGTTTCTAAGTGGTATTTCTTGATTAGGTATTCTTTGGTCTTCTTGTTCTTCAGCTTCTTTTCTTTCATCTGTTCTAGCTTGCTTGCATGTGATCTTAACTTGCTGATCTTATTTTCTAGTCTAACCTTCCATTTTTCTGGTGCACTGTTTGTTTGTTTTTCTTCTTTGTTGATTTTGCATCCCAGGTATTCTGTTATAACTGCAGCTGTGCTGTACATTAGTTGGTTTGTTTCTTGCAGTGAATTGGTGCTTATACTTGATATTGCAGTATTTGCATCTTTTAATGCTTGTGCTAGCTGTTTCTTTGGAACAAGCTTCAATGCAGGTAGCCTTATTCTGTTGTTTTTGTGCTGTTCTAGATGCTCAGTTATTCTTTGTTTCAATTCTTTTATTTCTTTAGTTAGAGGGTTTTGTTCTTCCTGAGGTAGAGGTGCCTGGTTTCCAAATGAGAACAGTTGTATATCTCTGCTGGATTCCTTCACTGCCAACTCCCCCTGGTTTGCCTCTACCTTCTGAATTACTTCTGGTAAGGCTTTGATTTCTTTGCCCTGGGTAAACCTTTGCAGTTCGTCCAATTCTGTTTCTGTGAATACTTTATTTCGTGTTATAAATCGGCGTTGATCTGCTAGTCTCTGTTCTGTTATTTCTGATTCTGGATGTTGTTCTTTCCAGAACTGGTGCATTCGTTTTAGATATCCTCGTCTTGTTGGACTTGATCTGTAGTAACAGATCATTATTTTTTTGTTTTCCATCACTGTGTATCTGCGACGGGTAAACACCTTTTCTTCCAGTAGTTCTGCAGCTGCTGGCCCTGGTTGCTCAGCCAACAGTCCTGAGTCCTGTAACCCATTTTTCACCAGATATCCAGGAACTCCAATATCTAGTGCGGACCTTGTTAACCCGGGCGACGTCCGAGCCGGTATGGCATTCTGCAATTTACGTCTCACCATATTTTTTATGGGAGAGACACTCTTTGTCTGACTCCTCTGATGAGACCTGTCCAGTATGGTTGAACCTCTGGCATAGCTCTCACCTTCCTCAGAGTACACAAGCCCACAACCACGTCAAGGTAGTTATTATTATTATTATTATTATTATTATTGAAAGGAAAGGAAAGGAAAGGAAAGGAAAGAAAAGGAAAAGAAAGGAGTCCCTGCGGATTTTACTCCACTAATCATTGCTGACTATAAGGGGTGGCACTCATCTCTGTTTCAAAGCCATTCAAACAGTGCTGTCCGAAGATGTTTTCGTGGTCATGTGGCCACATGACATAGCGGAGCTTCCTCCCTACTGAAGTGGTACCTATTTATCTATTCTGCATGCATGTGCATGCTTTCAAACTGCTAGGTGGGCAGAAGCTAGATGAAGATGGGCCTTGGTTCTGTTGCGCGGCACTTGGTCTTGAGTCTCGAACCCAAACTGTTGGCCATCCAGCCAACAAGTCCAGCGTCTTAACCACTGAGCCATTGCGTTGCTCTGCAAAGCAGATAAGTTGGTTAAATTTTTTTTAAAAACCCACTATCTGGGAGAAAAACAGCAGTAACTCACTTTTATAGATTTATTTGTTTTCCTCTGTTTGTTAAATTTATTTGCTGCTTATCTCACCATGAGGCTGCTCTAGGCATCTTACAATAATAAAAGCAGCCACCTCCAGTGTAGAACTTTCCCATTGGGTTGTCAGGCTAACTGGCAGATGCAGATCTTCAGGCCCTTGTGGAAGGCTAGGAGTAAGGAGCAGATCTCATCCCAGAGGGCAGGATGTTCCAAAGGACAGGTGCTACAGCAGAGAAGGTTCTTTTTCTGGATCCCAGTGGTTGGAGTTAGGACCGCTTATCCTAGTACAGGGGTCTTCAAACCTGGCCCTTTTATGACTTGTGGACTTCAACTCCCAGAATTCCTCAGCCAGTGTGCCTGGCTGAGGAATTCTGGGAGTTGAAGTCCACAAGTCATAAAAGGACCACATTTGAAGACCCCTGTCCTAGTGGGATGTCATCAGGTAGCTTTGTAAATTTGCCTAGACCCAAGGTGGGGAACTATGGCCAGTTTGTGACTTGTGGACTTCCAACTCCCAAAATTCCCGAATTCTGGGAGTTGACGTCCACAAATGATAAAGAGACATAGTTCTCCACTTCTGGTCTAGATCCCTAGACCAACAGTAGAGACATTCATGAAGTCACCAGGTGTGCATCTCAACACAAGTGAGTTTTTTAAAAAACTTATTAAATCTTGTTTCCCAAACATTTAATTCCTCGTTGTTTCCCTTCCTCTCACCTATTATTCAACTCTGCACTGGATTAATGTTGGCATACTTAGCTTAAATTATGTTAGCCAGCATAAGCCCTCTCAAGTCAACCTTAAAAGTTAAGCTGACAGTTTGAAATTCTGTTCAGTTTCAGATTAGCTACTTCATGTAAATCTCAGAGCTGATCTTCTTCCAGATGGCAATCACAATGGGTCAGGTTTCATCTGATGCCTGGAACTCATCACTGTTCTTCCCACCATCTTTTAGGCTGCCCCTCAACACCTCAGAATGAGGTAAAAGATGGTGGATGGGGATACAGGTAGTACTTGATTTACAACAGTTTGTTTAGTGACTGTTCGAAGTTACAACGGCACTGAAAAAAATGACTTATAACCGGTTTTATACCTATGACTATTGCAGTATCTCCACGGCCATGAGATCAAAATCCTATACTTGATAACTGTCTCATATTTATGACAGTTGCAGTGTCCTGGGGTCGTGTGATCACCTTTTGCAACCTTCTGATAAGCAAAGTCAATGGAGAAGCCAGGTTCACTTAACAACCGTGATACTAACTTAACAGAAGCAATGATTCACTTAACAACTGTGGCAAGAAGGGTTGTAAAAAGGGGCAGAATTCAAAAATGTTTTGCATGGCAACATAAATGTTGGGCTCAATTGTGGTCATGTCAAGGACTATCTGTATGAGGCTGTGTTGGTGGTAAGATGTCCTTGGGCTGGATCTTCATGTTTCATCTTTACATTAGCTATAACTCTTCAGTTTAATTGTTATTTGAAAAAAAATCAGTTCAAAGTGTGAGATAGCCTTGTGCAAAGGAAGGGTATTCTGCAGAAACTCCAAGTAATATATATATAATCCATGCCTTACTAAACATTTATTATTTATTTATAATTTGTGTATTTATTATAGAAATCCAAATGAATTTAGATTTAATATGCATATGTAAAATGTCAGTATATCAATATATGATCAATAGGATGATGAGTTTCCCCCCCCCCAAATTTAAGTAGTATGGAAAAATGAAAGGCAATTTTAAAAAGCAACTAAGATCTAACGCCAGTTCTGGATTTATTATTCTAAACATAATAAAAGCCATTATTTCTAAAATGTAAATTTCCATCCAAAATGTACCTCATATGAAAGCTTAATCATATTACTCTGCAGAAAAATAGAGGAAGGAGGAAGACTTGCACCTTCTGTAATTTTGTGTGTTTGTGTGTATGTGTGTACTAGCACTAGATGGAAATTTGGAAGTCATAAATGTTGTTTCAAGTACTGGAATTGAATAAACCTCACATCCTTCTTCATTTCAGCAGCATATATTGCTACTGTAAACATTCTCTTGTCTTGTTATTACTTCTTAAAAACAGACGTCAAACCCTCATGTTGACTTTCACCAGCGGGTTTTAATTTACCTTCACTCCTGCTCTGGAAAACCAATCACATGCAGAGGAGACAATGTTTCTTCCTGGCAAATTTTTTTAGTTAATCAAAATACAAAATACAGAGAAACAAAGAAAACGAAGATAATGTGAAAATAGGGGAAGAAAGGGGGAAAGAAAAAAGTGTTGGGTAAAAGAGGGGGAAAAAAGGATTGACTCCTGACTCCTTTGGGCACAGTAGAATAAGGTAATCACACCTTGACTTTTTACTTTTATATAATACCGTACTATATGCTAGCCGTTTCTATATCGAGAAATCTATCTAATCAGCAGAATCCAAAATAAAAGTTTTGTTTTTTTTCTAACTCAAGCACAAAGTCCAGAAGAGGCTTCTTAGTAGAAACAAAATTAATTGTGTTCTTTTCTTTAACCAAAGTAGTCAATTTAGCCATCTCTGCTAACTCCGTCAACATTTGCAGCCATTCATCTATTGTGGGAGGATTGCAGACATTTCTCAGCTAATAGCCATTTCCATGTCCAAGTTCTTATCCCCAAATTATCACTTTAGAAATTCTAAAGGTCTCCTTGAAGATCTTGGAGCCTCAGGTTGAAAGACATGGAAAGAGCGTCTCTATTATTTTCTGTTTTCCTCAAAGCAACTCAGATATAGAGAGTAGGCTGTGGGGTTGATGCAATCCAAGATTTCTCCTAGTTTGATGTTATTGAATTCAAGCCTCCTCTAATTCTCCCTAGATCCTTGCCTGTCATGTCAGATGATGTGGAGAAGAACGAGGCTCCTCCAGAGCCAGAGACAAAGCAAGATGAAGGAGAGAAGAAAGAGCCGGAGCCAAAAACTGAGCCAGAGGCAAAGCCGGAGCAACAACCACAGCTGGAATCCCCACCTTGTAGCCCCCCAGCACCAGAGGCCCCTCCGTCATCCATGCTGGTGACCGTCACCATTGAAGAGGAGACTGTGGGAGGACCACAACTGAATGGGGATCCCTTGGGGCTGAGGGCCGGCTCAGCTGAGGAATTAGGAACCAACCCAGCCCCTCCTGGCAGCACCCCAGCACGGTCCAAGTCAGCATCACTAAACGATCTGAAGCCCCAGAACAGCGTCAATGGAGGCCCGCGGGCGGTTGCGAGGGGCAGCTTGTCCGGCTCTCAGGTACATCTTGCGGGGACAGCAGCATCTCCGCGGGCCAGTCTGAGTCGGCAGGCCTCAGCAACTGGATCGGCAGCTGGGGAGGCTGGGGCGAAACCCAGAGACTACATATTCATGGCTGCTCTGTCCTGCTTTTGCCCCATCTGGCCGATCAACATTGTGGCCTTCGTGTACTCGGTCATGGTAAGTGCCAAGGTGGGGTTGGGCAATTAAAAGAACCACCGGCTACGCAGAGCCTGTAAAACGCTTTCCCCGGCATGGTTGAATGCCGCTTTCCATGTACCTTTTCCACCCAGCCTGCCTGCTGCTGCACCAATACTTCATCTTCACGAGACAAAAGAAGAGCAGTACACTTACTCAATGCAGGAATGGAACAGGCAGGACAAGCTACTGTATATAAACAGGAAGCAAACTCCATTCCCCCTCACACTGATGATGTTGCCTAGTTGGGTAAGGAAATGTCTGCCAACAAACAACCAAGCTCAGAGAGCAGCAAGGATCCACAATTCAACCCTGAGCAAAAGATACAGACAATCCTCAACTTACAACCATTTGTTCAGTGATCATTCACAGTTACAACAGCATTGAAATAAGTTAATTACAACTGGTCCTCACATTTATGACTGTCACAGCATTCCCACGTCATGTGATCAGAATTCAGGCACTTGGCAATCAGCATGTGTTTTCAACAATTGGAGTTTCCCAGGGGTCAGGTGACTTTGCCATTTATGACCTTTCTGACAAATGAAGTCAATAGGGAAAGCTAGATTCCTTGAACAACTGCAGTCATTTGCTTAAGAAGTGTGGCAAAATAGGTCCTAAAATTGGTCTCAACTCACTTAACAACTGCCTTACTTAACAAACAGAAATTCTGATCCCAGTTGTGGCTGTAAGTCAAGGACTACCTGTATTCTCTTCGATTTCCATTTTTGACTCCTCGTGCCAGGGGAGAAATAGATCCTACTTGCTTTGTCAAAAAGAAAGGACAGTACAATGCTGTGGCTTGTGTAAAATTTGCACATGCTAATCTGTATATATGTGCGCATACGCACAAATGAAAAAAAAAATCTATCGTGCAAACAAATTCAGCTTAGTGGGCAAGGATCTGAGGGGAGGGGGGCAAAAAGTCAAAGTAGTGTCACAATCATGCAGTTAATGCACATCAAGAGGGGACAGGTTTGATTGCATGGTTCAGGCTGCCATCCTGACTTTTTTGGATACCCTCGCAGTGAGGATGAGTGAATGATTTTTATGCCTGATTGAGAAGCTGTCTAACTGTTAATATCTCAGCTTCTCCTTCTTGTGGGTCTCTAAATCAAACATGGCCTTTGCAGTCTTTCAATCAGAGCTTGAGAAAAAGCTTTCAATTTGTTTTTAATTAGAATAATCAGGAGGGGCAGGAACAAAGCCTGGCCCCCTTCCACTGCCATCTCCAATACTTACAATCAACTTACAAATAATTCATTTAGTTACGTTCAAAGTTACAAAGGCTTACTGTATGACTGTTTTCACACTTACGACCCTTTCAACATCCCCACAATCACATGATTAAAATCTGGACGCTTGGCAACTGGCATATAATTATGATGGTTGAAATGCCTAGGGGTCACAGGGTCACATTTTGTGACCTTCTGACAAGCAAAGTGGACAGGGAAGCCAGATTTACTTAACAATCATGTTACTAACTTAACAGCTACAGTGATTCACTTAACAACGGTGACAGGAAAGTTCATAAAATGGAGTAAAACGCATTTAGCAACTGTCTTGATTAGCAATGGAAACCTTTAGCTCACTTGTAAGCTGGTAAGTCAAGGACTACTACTACCTTGTTAGGAAGCGAGATCAACAGAGCAATTTTATTTCTTTTGGGTGCTCTAATATTTTAGGGAAATCCTTTGCTTGAACTTGAATCATTGTAAGAACATTCTTAATGGCTTGATCCATTTTCCACTGGCAGAGTTGAAGTGATTCAGCCAGGATTGCCAATGTTGTGCTTTGAGTGTCCACTAACTACCGCAGTGTCAGTGATGTGTGTGTTTCGATTTAAGAAGTGGAAATGGTTGAGATGCTCAGGTGAGCTCTTATATTTTTAACAGCATTTTTCTTTTTCTCCCTCTTCAGTCCCGTAACAGCTTTCAGCAGGGAGACATTGATGGGGCTCGGCGCTTGGGACGGGTAGCAAAGCTGCTGAGTATCGTGGCCCTGGTCGGGGGCTTGCTCATCATTGTGGCCTCTTGTGCCATCAATTTTGGAGGTGAGTGGACAGGAAAGCACTGTTTGACAGGAGGATTTCTCTAGTCAGGCACGCTGCCTGAGGAATTCTGGGAGTTGAAGTCCACAAGTCATAAAAGGGCCAAGTTTGAAGATCCCTGCTCTAGAGAGTTGTGATGCTTAGATTTTAGACTAGTGATTCCCAATCTCAGCAATTTAAAGATGCATGGACTTCAGCTCCCAGATTTCTCCAGCCAGCGTCCTGGCTTGGGAATTCTGGGAGTTGAAGTTCACCCTTCTTGGTTGAGGAGCATTGTTTTGGACTACTTCAGAAGATGATTTCAGAATAAAGACTTCCTTTTCTTAAAATGGACTTTACCTTGATACTCTGTGGAGAAGACCCCACTGGGGAGGACAAAGCCAGACGAGGTACTGTGCTGATTACGCTGCAACCATTATTGGCTGCTAATGTTCCCCCAAGAGAAATAAACTGCTATAATAATAATAATCATAATACATTAAAGAGTCTTGTTGTGACAAGAGGTTACATAATTATGACCCAAAAGATCACTGACAGAGAAGCAGGCGATATCTACAGTACAAAGTCTGGCTCATGGAAATCAGCATTCTTATTAAAACCTGCTCCAAAAAAGCTCCTTTGGGGGGGGGGGTCAGTCATTTTTTGTGGGGAGGCCTATGAGCCAACCAGAGCGTTGTGAGACTTTGAAGTAACCAGATAAGATACAATTATCAATATTAATTATAATAGATAAAACCCCAGCCTAAAACCTTTACTGCTAATAATAGTAAAAAAAAGTCAGAATTGCAGTCAGGGCATCAAAGCCACACCTGGTCTATTTATTCATTTGCCACCGTTATTTTATACATAACTCAAGGTGGTATACACACACAGTATTCTTTCCTCCTAATTTCCCCACAACAACAACCTGGTGGGGTAAGGTGGGCTAAGAGAGAGTGATTGGCCCCAGGTCATCCAGCTAGCTTTCATGCTAAGGGAGGATTAGAACTCATCAATTGATTTCTAGCCTGGTGCTTTAACCACTAGACCAGTGTTTCCCAAACTTGACAATTTTAAGGCATGTGGACTTCAACTCCCAGAATTCTACAGCCAGCGTTGCTGACTGTGGAATTCTGGGAGTTGAAGTCCTCATGCCTTAAAATTGTCAAGTTTGGGAAACACTGCACTAGACCAAGAGTAGGCAACCTTGGCTCTTTTATGACTCGTGGACTTCAACTCCCAGAATTCCTATGCCAGCACCAGACTAGAAATGGCTGGCTCAGGAATTCTGGAAGTTGAAGTCCACGAGTCATAAAAGCCAAGGTTGCCTACCCCTGCACTAGACAAAATCTTTCTATATATCACCCGTGCAATCTGTGTAAAAAGAGGGTGGGGCTTTGATCACATGGTCACAACTGCCATTGTGACTTTTTTGATCCGTGCAATTTTACACCTGCCCTTGAAATAACATCATGAATCTCCCCTTGCTTTTCCTAATGGTCTGCTCCTGCATGCTTTGGGTTCCAATGAATGCCAGGGATAGGGAGGGTGAATTGAGCACATCTGAGATATTAATCCCTCATGTTTCTTAACAAATAGTAAATAAATCCCTTGTTTTGCTCTTTTTTCCTGTGTTCGTCCTCCCCTCCTCGATTCCTTTGCCCTTGTTCCCTTTCCCTCAAACCTTTCTCCTTCCCAGTGTTTCAGTGAAGGCAGCCCTTGGCTGCTACTGCACCCCTAGCCTCAAATTTTCCATCTTTGGAGCAGGGGACCCGTATGACTACAGTGGCCCCATCCCTTCTCATCCCACCCGCCTCCCCTGCATCCCAGAACCATACAAAGCAAGAGCACAAGGATGGAAACAATAGAAAGAGAGAGAAAGAGAGAGAGAGAGAGAGAGAGAGAGAGAGAGAGAGAGAGAGAGAGAGAGAGAGAGAGAGAGAGAGAGAGAGAGAGAGAGAGAGAAGACAAAGGAACACAAATGAAAGAAAACTGAAGAAACAGCTTGCAATGTGGTTAAATATTTTCTCTCTCACTGTAGGGAGTTCAATTCCTCCCCCCCAAAACTGGAACCAACACCCCCCCCCATCCAATGGAGAAAGAAGGAAAAAGGAGGAACAGATTTCCCATGTTCTCTCCCACAGTCTCTCTCTTTCTCTCTCATTTTCTTTTCATCCATCCATCCATCCATCTATTCAACCAATGACCTGTCTGCCCATCTTCCATCAACTGCCAAATTTCAACAGCAAATAAAACTCTTTCAATGTTCCATGTTTACAAGAACCTTCTGGAAAAAAGCTCTTCCCCCCCCCATGGCTCCTATGAATATAGGGGGGGGAGCATGTTTACACGTTTTTGCTGGGAACAAAGGAAAAGAATGAGCTTTGGAAAAGAGGAAAAGCTGATCTCTCTTACAAAAGACAACAGACAGCGATGAGAAGGAATGGGCTCAGAGCCATGAATTGGTTTAAAAACTGGCAGTGATGGAACAACTTAGAGCAACTTACCATGACTCCAAAGGTGTGGTATCCAGGTGGAGTATAATTCAAATAGGTGTGGTTGCACACCTATAAGACATCCAGAAATATAACCAAACACACCATCCTGTCAATCAACCGGCGAAAAGAAATGACAATGGAATGGATGAAATTAGCTGAAGGAATCAATTCAACCAACAGAGAGTCAACAGCTTGAATCACAAGAAGATCAAAAATGTACAGTGGAAACTGGTGTGAAAGTGAAGATGAAAAAAAGGGGGGGAATCCCCCACAGAGCAAAAGAAGGAGGTGATTGGCAGAATGGGCTTTACGGAGAAAAATGTTACAGGTCCAACACACCAGAATGAAATGACACAAAAGAAGTTGGAAGAATTTGGCAACAGAGCTAGTGGAGGACATGAAATACCTGTTTTGGGAATCCTATAGAAAAAAGTGAGATTGCAATGCTTAAAATGAGAACATTGGAACAGGGGTCTTCAAACTTGGCCCTTTTATGACTTGTAGACTTCAACTCCCAGAATTCCTCAGCCAGTACAGCTGGCTCAGGAATTCTGGAAGTTGAAGTCCACAAGTCATAAAAGGGCCAAGTTTGAAGACGACCCCTGCGTTGGAATGAATAAAATGAAGGTTGTAGTAGAAGTAAGGGGGGGGGGTGATAGCAGGCATCCCATTCAGAAGTTGAGAGCATGAAAAGACAAAGACCATTCCCCCCCCCCTTTTTAAAGGACCAGCTGCAGCCAGAAAAATAGGATTGCAAAGCATGAATTTGTGCAGCGTCTTTTAATTGGTGAATTGACATATTAGCTTCAGAGTCAGACTGTGGGAAGAGATGAATCTTGGCCAAACACTACTTAGAGACACCCAAATATTTAGCAGACATGAGAGAAAGCTGGGGTATGAATGTAGCAGGAATTCAGGGTGGCTATATAGGGTGAGTTGTGGAATGTGCCAAGAAATTGTGGGGAAAGACAGTTCCAAGATATTGTGCTACCTGAAACAAAGGATAAAATATTTATGTGCAAAAACAGATTTAAGTATCCCATTGTAGTTGAGGAGGGAAAAATAACTTAAAGAAGACAGGACAGGCTGCACAGCATTCATGGTTTGGTTGTCCAGCATATTGTACACAGTGATTGCTACCCCCTTAAATCTTTGTGAAGCATCTGCCATCAAAGGCAGTTATGTTAAACAGGGTATCTTTCACATATCTAAGTCCAGACCCACCGCAATTCTTACCCAGAGGCCATGTGCACACTGGCTGGACTTCATGGGAGTTGTGGTCAAAAATATCTGGAGGAGTCCAGTTGAGGAAACTGAAGTTCAATATCTCTTCTTGTTCAAACCTTTTCTTTGGTCAAATAAGAGATTATGAATTTTTTTGCTCAGTTGCTTTGAAAGGCAGAAAAGGCAGAGAGAGGAAGGACACACACACACACACACACACACATGCACACGCTCTCTTTCTCACACACACAACAGAGCAGTTACTGTACCGAACACCTTCACCCTCACCATGAAGAATAAAAACCCTCCATGTTGTGAGGATCAGAATTGAAGCAGGGACCAAGAAGATGTGGGAGTGAAGCGTGAATGTGTTTATACAGATATATACAGGAGTGAAGCTGTGATAAGAGAGGAATATATGTTTCCACCCTGTATATATTATATTATTTCTTCTCTGCTGGACACAGGAAGCCTATAATTCTAATCTGCCGTCAGAACTGTGCTATTAAAAACAAAACAAGGCACCCCCTGTTATTGGAAGTGTACAGATCCTAGTCAACATTATCCACAGTGTAAGAGTCAAGACAAGAAGGAATGGGATAATACCACCTAGTATTAACAAGCAAAAAAGCAAGACATTTTCTAAGGGGAAAAAGGGGGGGGAAGCCTGGGATAGATGAATGTTTGCACGAGATTCAGTTTAAGAACCAAGACAGGAGGAACACGGCTATCCTGACTATCCTCAAAGAAGGAAAGGAAGCTGGGATGATACAGACCCCTCCTTGCATAGAGAGGAGATCACACCAGCCAGAGAGGGAAGCACATCTGCCCAGCGGGCTCACTAGATGTGACGCAGCAGCACAGGGAGAGACAGGTTGAACAATGATGCTTCGCTGAAAAATTTATTCTTGAGAGGCCAAATGCTCCATGCAAGCCAGAAAGAAAGACATCTTGAAAAGAATCAGATAGACAACCGTATGTGATTGGACAGAATCTACTTGGGGGCGGGGTGGGGATGGCAGGGGGGAGAACAGGGTGAGGGAAGGACACCAGCAAAGAAGTTGTGTGTAGCAGACACTAAATTTACACCCAGCACAATGTGAGTTTTATTTCTTTTCTTTCCCCCCTCTCGGCTTTGATTTTCCTGCAGACTGTTACACAAAGGGATGGGGTGGGGTAGGTGGGTGGGGGACACCGGCAGCCTCATGGCAGCCTCCTTTATAATTTATACTTGGGAGACAGCATGGGGCATTATTTAAGGGGGAGGAGGGTCTGAAACTCCTTCCACTATTAATCCCATCTGCACGATGTACAAGCTTCTGGCCCCCTGCCAACCATCCTGCCCAATTAAACCAAGGAAAACCAAAATAGCCTCTCCCTCGATGGATGGATGCATGATGCAGGTGGGAGGGCAGTTTTGGTAGAAGGAGCCTTTTCCTTGGAGACTGTTAATCTCTAAGAGGCTGAAGGGGACGGCTGGCAGGGTGAGGCCCAGGGTTGTTGTATTTTGATGTTGAAATGCAAGTATTCTGTCTGCATGTTTTTATATGCTTATATTTGGGGCAGGGAGGGAAATCAGGGTCTTGGAAGGGGAGGGAGAGAGAGAGAAAGAGAGAAAGAGAGAGGTATTAGGACAGTGAATTTCTCAAGCCTGGCGACCTTTTGACATGTGGACTTCAACTCCCAGAATTCCCCAGCCAGCCAAGCTTGAAGTTGAAGTCCATGTATCCAGGCTTGAGAAAGACTGTGTTAGAGAGTGAGATTTAAGACAAGATCATAGCATTCAAACATGGATCCGTTTGGGGAACAGGCAATTGATGGAGCTGCTAGGAGGTGATCTGGAGTCAATCAGAATGGAAAGAGGTTCATGTGAGGGGGATGCAGGGCTGTGGGTACCATTAACGATGGTGAGTCAGGAAAGGATCGGATGAATTCAAGAAATTTAGATTTCACACAGACATATATCTAAATTTTATAGATACTGGGCTGTTTAGAGTTCAGAACAGACCAACCTCAACGGAAGAATATGAGAACCAACAACTGTCAGTAAACTGGGCTTTGCTGAGCCAAATCCTATCTAAATTTAAAGGGAAATTATTCTGTTGCCAACAAGGGGAATGGAATAATCAATTCCTCCTCTGGAGCAGGAAGTCAGTCACCAAATCCTAGATCTCTTACTCAAGGTGACTTGTTAGTTGACTTAAATCTTAAATCTGAAGATATGAGGCCAAAATATTATTTAGATGGGCAACTTTGATTGCTATCCTCCCATCTATCTGCTAAACGAAAATTGCTCCTTGATCGTATCCATTTAAATAGCTACAAGGGCGGTCTTAGTAGAGAGAAAATGCAGATTACTGAAGTGTGTAACAAGTAGAATTTGGGTGAAGAGGTAAAGAAAGAGATGTTTAGAGTGCCATGGGAAGAGAGGAAGGAAAGAAAGACCTAGAGTGAAGGAAGGCTGGTTTGTAAGGGGTTTTATGTTTACACATATCAGTTATTGAATGAAAATCACATAACCTATATCTTTGACATGCTGCTTGATAGATGTTTTCATATTGGGGTGGGCAATGTTTTGGATGCTAACTGATAAAACTTTGCTTTAATACCCTATTTGGGGAGGAGAATTTAGGCTTTTTTATTGGGAAAGAACAGGGGAGACTTTATTTTTTATTCCTTCCTCCCCCCCCTCCACCAAAGTGTAAGATGTAATTAATTTCCTGCTTTGTCGAGAATTTATTGTGCTTCTGATGGTTCAAAGTTGAGGGGCCAAAGCAGAATACATTATCCATTTAGTCCTCTCTCTTCCTGGGTATATGTGGACAATGAGTTTCCTGTCTATGAGAAACAAATCGTGCCATTATTCTAAAACAGCATCCAGTTTGTTATCTAAATCCGCTCTTCCCGAATTGGTGTCTCCATAGAAGTGTTCAGCTACAATTCCCATCACCTGAAGACAAGAGACATGACTATTAAATGCCCAACACATCTGGATGTCATCCAGTTAAGAGAAGGTTGAGCTCTAAGCTGCTCATCAAATATAGTTATGAGTGAAAACCTGACCAACAGGTTTAATTACAATTTTGTAGAAGATGTTGCTGTTTATTTCATTACATGTCCCATTTGGTCCTTTTGACATGATTTATTCTCAACAATTAAAAGGATTCCAACCAAAACAGGGAAGGGTCAGATTGGTCTTGAATCTGGGGCCAATCAACCATCTTGATGATAATTCAGAATTCTATTCCTTTCGCGGGTTGGGTGGGCTCACAAAATATTATAAATCTTAGTACCAGTTTCTATAAAGGTAGTGGGTGGGTGGGAGAGTGGACATGATCAAATTATAAACTGCTACAGACTTTTGTATCAATGCATGAATCAAGTAAAATAAACTCAGATGCATGAAGTGGTGTCAAGTGATTCTTCTGAGAAAATTTGGGGGATGTCCAAGCCATGTGACATCACCATGTGAAAATTCAGCCTTTTAAAATCCACAATGAAAATGAAAAAAAAAACCACTCTTGTTAAAGCAGATGTATTTATTTCTCACATTATTCTGTTTCTATGAGTCATAGCCAGCAATTACATAGCTTCGGGTACCAACAATTTTGGCTTCTACATCACCCAGGCATTTTTAGACGGTTGGCTGAAATTACTGGAGCAGAAATTTTAAATAAGACCCCAGGAGAAGTGAGCAAATTATAATGCAACTAACAGATGCAGCCAAGATTTGGAAAACATTGTCCTCACGAGCCAATGTCTCAATGCAGACACAAAGCATAAAATAACATATGGAACCCAAAAGGAAGCTTGCTGTAGAAATCTTGAAACAGCTCCAGCCACATTACAAAATGATGGACACAATAGTCACAAACCAATAATTTACCAGAGGATAAATTGAGCACTTCGGTGAGGTTCAACGGCAGGACTCCAACTAAATATATCAACTCGGTCTTTTGCAATATCCAGCTTCCTATTTTTTGTGTCTTCTAAGAAGTTGAGCAAGGCAAGGAGTTGGTGGATCTTAAGGGAGCCATCTCGAAGTTCTGTTGCCCAATTATCACATTGCCCAGCCCTACTTAGCATTAAGCATGATTGCATTGAGTTTGTATACACCTCTTAGGTTACTGTGCTTAGTGGACCTTTTGAGTCCATCTTAATAAGTGCAGTGCCTATACAGAACATTATCCTGTAAGAGAGGAATTAATCTTTAATGCAGGTTTTTGCAGGTTCTCCCTGTATCAGCGCGAGTTAGCTTTAATGTTCACAGACCCTCAAAATGATTACTGTGTTAAAAAATTAAGATGATCAAAATTTCAGATTTTTAATCACTTTTATATTTTGGGACATCTGTAACATTACAGGAAAAAAATGTTAATCACTGCTGCAAAGTGTTCTAAAGATTTTACAAGTTACGGTAGCAACTATGGTAACAAGGCCTTTATCCAAATGTGGTTCTTTAGGCCCTTTAAGATAGGAAAACAAAATGACATGTAACAATTTGACTTTAATTTCTGCAGTCTCTTGGGAATGGAAGAGGTGTCTTGGCAAGATTTGGGTCTTGGCAGGGCAACAGACTGCCTCTTTTATCTTCATTCTGCTTCCTCCCTTAGGTCTTGTTGACAAAGAGGCTTAATCTGCAGACATCAGCCTATTTATGGCTCCTCTGATTCACGAATGTTGGCTTCTGTTATACTGAAAACATTTATTCTCCTCTTGACCAGGTGGTCAATCTTCTTGGTCTCCAGAAAACCATTAAATACAGAGCTAGGAATATTTGCCATATTTATCTTGGTTGTTCATCCAGATCCTTCCATAAATAATCAGAGACAACCAAATCAAGACAATCAGATGACCATAATCTCAATTTTGTTGCAAGAAAAAGAGGTGTTTTTTTTATCAGACAAAAGCTTTACACTTTAAAAATCTATATACAATATGCAGACACTCAGGTTTGAAATGTGCAGCAACACCACTGTGGATTTAGGAGAGTTGTTAAGATCAGCCCCTGTCTGGAGGAGGCAGGGTGAGAATATTACAAGGAAGGACAAAAATAACCATTTCAATTTCAGAGGTCTCCTTGCAGTTTAAGCAAAAAGAATTACCGTACCTTTTGCTTAAACTACCAGACAATTAAGCTATGCCTAGGGCAAGGGTAGTCAACTTTGGCTCTTTTATGACTCGTGGACTTCAACTCCCAGAATTCCTGAATTCTAGAAGTTGAAATCCATGAGTCATAAAAGAGCCAAGGTTGACTACCCCTGCCTTAGGGCTTAGATATCTCTCTTCTATTATGGCCCCAAGGTGGTAATTATATTGTGAATTTCTAATTCTGTAAGCCCCCCAGAGTCACCATGTGTCAGTTGGGCAGCCATAAATTTGTTTAATAAATTAAAAACCCTGCCTCCTTCATCTCCATCTGTTATTTCTCTTGACTTCTGGGTCCTAATACAAGCATGAAAAGCCAGCTTTTGTGAGAAAGGAAGAAGAAGACCTTTAATAGGTAGGGGGCTACCATGGTAATGTAAACTTCTTGCTGAAAGCCACAGTAGGAGAGCTTGCTAATGCGCTAATGCAGAAACCAACGAGGAAAGAAAGAAGATAAACGAGTCTATATAAATGAGTTACTAACTACCTCAGGAAAGTACTGAATGTTCCAAATCTTGGAGAAAATAAATAGGTAAATACATCTCTGCCACTGGCAAATGTCAGAATCGTGGAAAAGTCAGACAGGACTCCAGAAGGGCGAAACTGATGGTGAAAGTTGTACTTATTTAGTTCACTTCAATATTGCACACCACAATGACATGACTGAAGAAAAGGAAAGTATAGCTTCAGCTACAGTCAATCTAAACTGCTTGAGAAATGAAGCAATTTGCCACCTCTTGTCTATGTATTTCTAATAAAAAAAATTACAAGAGAAAAGAGCAGATAATCTGGATCATGAGCTAAAGTACAAAAGTTAAACTGAACGTTCAGAGATAATTCCAAGGAAATAATGCAAGATATGATCTTAAGACCTCCAGGGTCAATAGGTAGCCTACCAATACTATATCCTTTTTAAAACTGTGTATTCATATTGCCCAAAATAAATTACATCCAAATGGTTGCTCCATGTCTTACTAGATATATTTACAGAATGCAGGGGATTAATACATTCTCCTCTTCAGAGATCTGGTCCTATACAGTTTGGGAACACAAAAAAACCTAGTCCAGATTTCAAAAGGTGTTTAGATGTGATCTTCTTGATTTTTGGGCAACAAAATCCTAGTTTGGTTTATTATATCAAGACAAGTGCAGTCCTATATTTCGTTTTCCCCAAAGATACCCCAAAAGTGTGAGGTAAAAAAGCTTTCAATTGCAAAACGACAAGCTCTTCAGCTGCCCCTCAAAATGGTGGATCAGGATCCTCCTCAACAGCCAATTTTTAACTCAAGTTTCATATTATTATGGGAGTAAAACCAAAAGAAGCCAGGAGGAGCAGGAGCTATTCTATTGCCCCACACAGATATTGCAAAAGCATCATGGGAAGGTGAAGTGAACACATCAGAGAAAAACTGTACAACCGGCGTGACTGATCTAAGGCAAAGATCTCATTCCTTCATCATGAAGATTGGGAGCTGATCACTCTGGAAGACTTAGGGGAGTTCCTTCCCACAACTTTGAAATCCTACATCTTCTTTGCCCGTTCAGCAGCATCTAAGGCAGCCATATTGCACGAGGCCGAGACCAAGTGAATTAAGCTGATGAAGCTCTTGGTGATGGCAATGGGGGTACAAACCCACAGAATCAGGCGGTAGAGTCCAGCGTATCCTGACAGGACTATAAAGTAGAAGAACAAACAAGAGAAGGGTGGAAAAATCCAACATGTTCTTCAGTCCTAAAGCCTCCCCTCCCCTCAATTCCCTCAGCTTTCTGTACTTACTTTCTGACCCTTCACCGAAACACAACAAGTATAACATGCAGTAGAAGAGTTCATTACCAGCACACATAATGAAAAGAACAGGCTGAAAGAAAGGAGAAACTACATCAGATCAAATCAGGCAAGAAATGGCAGCCAACAGAAGCCAGTTTAAATCAGATGGCGTTTATGAGGGCATCAGCTGGCGTTGCATGACAAATCATGATGACTTTATGGAAACATCTTTCTATATAAATAATCTATATTGAAAAATAACCTATTGCATATGATAAAAATAATATCCCAGAATAAAAACAGCAGTCAGATAACCTTTTCAGGAAAGGGATGGCTTGGACTGCCAGCTAATCAACATGGAAGAAGAGAAGCAAATTGTATCAACAGAAGAGAATACTTGTGGCTCAGGGTTGAACTGTGGGGTCCATAGTGCTCTCTGAGCTTGGTTGTTTTCTTGCAGACATTTCACTACCCAACTAGGTAAGATCATCAGTACTAGATAGTGCTAGACATCAATGCTAAACAGTGCTTCTACCACTGATGATGTTGCCTAGCTGAATAATGAAGCATCTGCAAGTAAACAAGCAACCTCAGGGAACACCAAGGATCCTACAGAGGCAAATTGATTAGTAAGGGATCCTATAACACCGGCGCCATCCCACAGAAGAATCTGGTCTCACTTCAAATGGGAAGGAGGCATCACTCAACCATGATACAGATTGGTTTACATAGGTTTTAAGCACTTTGATAATCAAGGTCAACATCTTAAATTAGCCTGACTGGAAGTTTACTAAATTGCCACTGTTCCTCCAATTTGAAGGAAATGATTCATGAAAATAAACATGCTAGAACAGTGACTGACGTGGCTGGGAATGCCAATTTCTATAGCAGACCTTGGGCATTGGGGGAATGGGGTAGAGTGGGGTGTGCCCAATGGTAATGTGTTACACTGCAAACTCCCCCCATTGTGTACTTCTATCAAGTCACTGGCAATTAAATGACAGATGGAGCTTGCACTGCAATTCAGCTTATTGCAGAGGCCAATGAGAGTGGGAAAATTTACTGAAGACAACTCTATTGTTCATTAAAAACGAGAAATCACCCCAATGGTGCTTTCTCTCCAAAGCATTTTGAATTAAAAGAGAGGTCCTAGGAGAGAATTTCATAACAAAATTGGTGAGAAAAGGCCTGCAGCGGGGTTTCGGTTTTGAGAAAACAGGAGGAGAGGAAAGTTGGGATGGGGTTAGTAATGCAATGCTGTGAAGACTCCAAAGAGACAATTTTTGTGACACTCACCCGTGAGTTGTAATACACTCTCAAGATCGGATTTCCTGTTAAGTCAATACTCTTATGGCTTTCTCCACCTTTCACCACAGTGCTAAGGGGAGGCAGGGGAAGAAAATTAAAATGGGAATTTAGAATAATCGGTTCTACCTCAACTCCCCTCTCTTGTTCCTTCTCTCACACGCCTGTGTATCTCTTCCATATGAAATCCTCCCAGAACGACTTTCTCTGCTGCATAGCACATCACATTTCTCCAGGTTGTGCATGCTTTCAAAAACAACTCAGCCTCAAAACTGCAATGTTACTTCCTTCACCCTTATTTTCTTAAGAAGCCAGTCTTTCATGTGCATCATATCTTTTCTAACTTTTTAAACAATATTAATTTCATTAAGTTTTAAAATTTTTATGCTGTCCTTTAGAACCAAGCCCTTACAATAAATTAAAGCAATGCATCCGTTTATTAATAAAGGAGAATCAGTTTGGTCTAGTGCAGTGATGGCGAACCTTTTAGAGACTGAGTGCCAAAAACTGGCCCCGCCCCTGCTCCACCCCCTGCCCCGCCCCCACTCCACCCCACCCTGCCTGCCTGCAGGGCCACTCACTGTCTCCAGGGCCTGCTGCAGATCACCCAGGCAGCCCAGCAGCGCCATGGTGGCCACGCCCTCTGCCCACGCCCTGCATGATGGGGTGTGAGGGCAGAGTACGTTGCCTGGCTACCATGTCCTTGGCTGCGCTGCTCCATGTGGGCCACGCTCAGGGACGACTCTCCTCCAGGGAAGCTGCTGGTGAGGAGGAGGGTCATGGGTGAAGGCTGGGGTAATGGCATGTGTGCCCACGGAGAGGGCTCCGAGTGCCGCCTCAGGCACCCGTGCCATAGGTTCGCCACCACTGGTTTAGCGGTTAAGGTGGGCAATAAACAAACAAACAAATAAATCTGATGGACATTATGAGGCTTAGAGAACAAAGGCCTAAATAATTTTTTGGAATAAAGGAGAGGAGATGTGAAAGGCAGCTCAGTTTGTAGCTCCATCTAGAATACAGTCCTAGACCTGAACACATGACTCAGCAGAACAGCCACCAAACAGAGCTCTGTCTCAGGCAGGGGTAGGCAACCTTGGCTCTTTTATGACTCATGGACTTCAACTTCCAGAATTCCTGAGCCAGCATGGCTCAGCTTGGAAACTTCTCTCCTTCTCCTCAGCATGGCTGGCTCAGGAATTCTGGGAGTTGAAGTCCACGAGTCATAAAAGACCCAAAGTTGCCTACCCCTGGCTCAGGAAAAATGTACAGGATTACAGGTAGCCCTTGACTTACAACCATAACTGAGCCCAAAGCTTCTGTTGTTAAGGAAGACAATAATAAGTGACTTTTGCCCTGTTTTACAACTTTTCACGACACAGTTGTTAAGTGAATCTGGCTTCCCCATTGATTTTGCTTGTCAGAAGATCGCAAAAGGTGATCACATGACCCTTGGACACACTGCAACCGTCACAGCTATGAGCCAGTTGCCAAGAGTCCGAATTTTGATCATGTGACTACGGTGTGTGTGTGTGTGCGTGCTGCAATGGCCCTAAGTGTGAAAAACGATCATAAGTCACTCAGTACCCTTGTAACTTTGGTCACTAAACAAATAGTTGTAAATCCAGGACTATCTATATAGCTCTTGCCTTTACAACAGTGGTCCCCAACATTTCTGGCACGGCAGCCTGACGGGAGGAGGGAGAGGGAATGGTTCTGTGTGAGTGGCAGGCTTGCACAAGTGCACACAGCTCCATTTGTGCAAGTAGTGGGTGCCTACACCCACCGGTCACACAAATGGAGCTTCGTATGTGAGCACGAGCACCTGTCACTTGTGCAAGTGGAGCTGTGCACCCACGCTTGTCCGCTGCTTACGCCGCCCAATTCCGAACGGGGCGCAGCCCAAGGGTGGAGGATCCCTGCGTTACAAGGCGAAAGGATTTAAAAAATGCGCAGGCAATACAAGCATAAGCTCCCCCAATTTGAAGACCAAAGGGACGATAAATCTGAAGCAAACTATCTACACCCCTTTTCAATGCAAAACTGAACTGGATTACAGTTTGAAGGAGGAGGAGAATCTAAGTAGAGGAGAGCCATTCTACCCATTGCTAGTTAGAGCGGCGTTTCTCAAACTTGGCCACGTTAAGAGATATGGACTTCAACTTCCAGAATTCCCCAGCCAACATTGCATCGGTACCTAAATTTGATAGACAGCTAAATAAACTGCATTCAGCTCTGCTATTTCCCCATCTGATACCTGTGGAGATGTAGCCAATGGGAGGCCACATCCAGGCTCATGCTCAGCTGAAACCAGAGGGCAGACTCTGGATAGAGCATAGCTAGGTTCACCAGCAGACACATAGTAGCACAGCGGTCAGTCAGCATGTCCAGCATGGCCCCAAAGCGGGTTCCTAGGAGGAAGGCCATAGGTTAGGAGAGGAACAGTGCTTGGGTTTTTTGGTTCATTTGTGCCTTTTAGTATACCGTACTTTCCAGCGTATAAGACGACTTTTGAAAGCATTGAAATCGGCGCCAAAGTCGGGGGTTGTCTTATACGCCGAGTCGTCATACGCCGGAAATAATGGTAGTTTCCGGCCTATAAGACGACTTTCTAGGCATGCGACTCGGCGCCAAAGTCGGGGGTTGTCTTATATGCCGGGTCACCTTATACGCTGGAATATACGGTAATCTTATTAAGTAAAAAGCAACAGGAAAAAAAAACACATAAAAAGGGAGAAACATATACATAATCACATACGTAGCAACAGGAGCTTCAACTTCAACTTACTGATCCTTTTTAAAAAAATTAATATTAATGCTGTTGCATAAGCTCCATGCTGAAATGAAGACTGAAACAAGAGTTTCAAAAGACATTGCGTGTCCAATAGGTAGTCCTTGAGTTATGACAGTTCACTTAGCGACAGTTCAAAATTACGATACCCTCCAAAGTACTTACGACAGTCTCAAAGTTACGAATGTTGCAGCACCATGGCAATCGTTCATCCTTACAACTGACTGTAGATACACTGCAACATTCCCCCTGCCTGTTCCATTCCCACCCTCCCCATAGGGACCTAACAGGCACTGGCTCTGCTATGCTAGCCCATCAGCAACTCCCCACCCTGTTACTGATCACTCACTTAACTTTCGAAGATCCAGAATTCCAGAACAGGCTGACTGCTCCTTCTCTCTCCTCCAGCGAGCTGTCTTCTCTCCAGCCTCTCTGCTGCAGGGTTTACCTTCTCTCAGCGTTCCAAAAGTGGAGCAATGAGGGCAGAGGCAGAACAGGACCAGCGCGCCCTGCTCAGCTTCACTGTGTCACTGAGGCTGCCTGCGCAGGACATCCAATCTGCTTCTGGAGCACCGGGCAATCTCGGTGACTCTAAAGGATCACACCTCCAAAGGCCTCTGTCCCTTTGTAAAAGCTTTTGGGGTGGAGGACAGAGGCCTGAAGGAGTGTGAGATCGCACCCCCCAAAGGCTTCTGTTCTCCACACCAAAAGCTTTTTCAAAGGGACGGAAGCCTTCAGAGATGCAATCTTGTGATGCTTCAGGTCTCCGTCCTTTTGCAAAAGCTTTTGGTGCAGAGAACAGAAGCCCTTGGGGGGCATGATCTCACACTCCTTCAGGCCTCTGTGCCAAAAAGTTTTGCAAAAGGATGGAGGCCTCTGGAAGCACGATCTTGTGCTCCGTCAGACTCACCAAGGCTGTCTGGCGTTCAAAAAGTGGAACAGGTAACCTGCACAGGCAGCCTTGGTGAGTCAGCCAAGCTGAGCAGAGAGCACTCGTCCCGCTCTGCCTCTGCTTTCAGCACTCTGCTTTTGGAGCACTGGGAGCGGCAAAGAAACCACAGCAGAGAGGAGAGAGTTCACTTGATCATCAAGATCTTGAAGTCCTTGAGTCCTCGTGGGATTCCTGCCCCGGAGGTTGTTGGGTGTGAGTCCCTCCTATTGAAGTTGGGTTCGCGGGTTCAGTTGGGCTTGCTGCTGACGTACCTACCTCCCAGCTGCGTTGCAACAGCCCTGCCTGCGTTGCTGGAGTCAGTAGCCGGGTTGGCGGTGGAGTTCCCCAGACTTATGGTACTGGGGGACTTTAACCTACCATCACTTGGCGATCGCTCAGAGGCGGCGCAAGAGTTCATGGCTTCCATGGCAACCATGGACCTGACCCAGGTAATTCAGGATCCGACTCATAGGGGTGGTCACACACTCGACCTTGTGTTTCTCTCGGGGCAATGGAGACATGATCTGGAATTAAGGGGAATAGAGATCTCGCCCTTGTCATGGACAGATCATTTCCTATTGAGGCTGGACTTCAGAGCATCACTCCCCCATCGCAGGGAGAGAGAGCCGACTAGGTGGTTCTGCCCCAGGCACCTAATGGACCCAGATCGGTTCCAGGAGGAGCTTGGGGAAATACCTGACTCCCTTGTCCACAACTTGTCCGGGTCCCTGGTTGCGGCCTGGAATGAGGCGGCATCCGGGGCCCTGGATCGAATTGCGCCTTTGCGACCTCTCTGTGGTGGTGGTCCCCGAAGGGCGCCTTGGTTTACTGAGGAGCTCCGGGAGATGAAGCGCCACAAGAGACGTCTAGAGCGACGTTGGAGGGCCAGTAACTCTGAATCTGACCGATCACTATTAAGAGCCTATCTTAGGACTTATTTAGTGGCGATAAGGGCGGCAAAGCGTGTTCACTTTTCCGCACTTATTGCGTCTGCAGAATCTCGCCCGGCCGCCTTGTTTAGGGTGACCCGCTCCCTTCTTAAAGTGGAGGAGGCGGAGGAACCCTTGCAGGGGAGAGCTGAGGAGTTTGTTCAGTTTCTTTCGGACAAAATCGCTCAGATTCAGAGAGACCTGGACTCCGACTGGGCAGTGCCAGCCGAGTTGCCGGGGGCTGGTCTTAGTCATGTTATCTGGAGCGAGTTTGAGCCTGTGACCGCTGATGAAGTGGACAAGGCCGTGAGGGCAATGAATGCCGCCACCTGTTTATTGGATCCGTGCCCCTCCTGGCTGGTTTCTACCAGTAGGGAGGTGACACGAGGCTGGCTCCAGGCGATAATCAACGCCTCCTTGATGGAGGGGTCTTTCCCGCAACCTTTAAAGGAAGCGGTGGTGAGGCCCCTCCTCAAGAAGCCTTCCCTGGACCCAGCTGTTTTGAAGAACTTTCGTCCAGTCTCCAACCTCCCCTTTGTGGGGAAGGTTGTAGAGAAGGTGGTGGCGTCCCAACTCTTGCGATCCTTGGATGAAACTAATTATCTGGATCCTTTTCAATCTGGTTTCAGGCCCGGCTACAGCACTGAGACTGCTTTGGTCGCTCTGACCGATGACCTCTGGTGAGCCCGGGATAGGGGTCATTCCTCTATCCTGGTGTTTCTTGACCTCTCAGCGGCTTTCGATACCATCGACCATGGTATCCTTCTGCGTTGTCTCGGAGAGGTGGGGGTGGGCGGCACTGTATGGGGGTGGTTCTCCTCCTACCTCTCTGACAGGTCACAGTCGGTGTTGGCGGGCGGACAGAGATCGACCCCTAGGCGCCTCGATCATGGGGTGCCTCAGGGCTCGGTCCTGTCCCCCCCTCCTTTTTAACATCTACATGAAACCGCTGGGCGACAAGGGGTGAGGTATCATCAGTACGCAGATGATACCCAATTATATATCTCCACCCCGTGTCCTTTCAGTGAAGCAGTCGATGTGATGTGCCGGTGCCTGGAAGATGTGAGGGTCTGGATAGGGGTGAACAGGCTTAGACTCAACCCTGACAAGACCGAGTGGCTCTGGGTCTTGCCTCCCAAAGGTCAACTGGATGGTCCATCATTAGTCCTGGGGGGGCAAATTTACCTCCCTCAGTGCAGGCACGCAACTTGGGTGTCCTCCTGGACTCACAGCTAAATTTGGAACAACATCTATCGGCTGTGGCCAGGGGGACCTTTGCCCAGGTTCGCCTGGTGCACCAGTTGCGGCCTTATTTGGACCGGGAGGCTTTACTCACGGTCACTCATGCCCTTGTCACCTCAAGACTGGATTACTGTAACACGCTCTACATGGGGCTACCCTTGAAGAGCGTTTGGAGGCTGCAGTTGGTTCAGAATGCAGCCGCGAGAGCGATTGTGGGCGCGCCAAGGTACGCCCACGTGTCACCTATCCTCCGCGAGCTGCACTGGCTTCCTGTGGGTCTCCGGACGCAATTCAAGGTGTTGGTTATCACCTTTAAAGCCCTTCATGGCATAGGGCCAGGTTACTTACAGGACCGCATACTGCCGCACAGTTCCCAGAGACCGGTGAGGTCCCATAGATTGGGCCTCCTTCAGGTCCCGTCGGCCAGACAATGTTGGCTGGCGGGCCCTCGGGGAAGGGCCTTTTTTGTGGTGGCTCTGATGGAATCAACTTCCCCCCCCCGAGGTTCGAACTACTCCCACCCTGCCGGCCTTTAAGAAAGCCGTTAAAACTCTCCTGTTCCGGCAGGCCTGGGGCTGATGTCCCCGGGGGGGGGGCGGGATATGATCGGACACACTGTATGATTGTATTATTTTATTGTTTTATTGTTAAATGATTGTTTTAATTTTGTACGCCGCCCTGAGTCCTTTGGGATTGGGCGGCATATAAATTAAATAAATAAATAAATAAATAAATAAATCTTTGAAAGGTAAGCGAGTCTCCATAAGGCCAGTGCCTGTGGAGATCCAGTGGGGCAAGAAGGGGGAGAGGGAAGCATGAGATATCTCAGTGGATCAGGGGAGGCCCTGGATGGTTGGAAGCACTAGGCTCCCCATGGTTTTCCCCACCCTGAGATACCTCATGTGCACTTAATGACTTGTGCATTTGATTAGCAAATGCACTGGGTAAAACCGGGAAGGATCACGTTAATTTAAAATGATCCAATGAACGAATCCTTGGGTTACGAATGTAATTGGCAGGTTCTATTACATTCATAACTCGAGGATTACCTTATTATCATTAAGAAAAATGACCATACTCAGCTTGGCACTGTAGCCCCTGAGGTCTTGGCCCAAAACTCCCAGAATTCCCTAGCTAGCTTAATTCTTTCTTCAAATGGCTGTTGAATTGCTTTTGATTTGGAGGATCAACATGTCTTGTGTTCCAGATATCTCAGTAAAAAAACAGCCAAAACTGCTGGAATGAGTTATATAGCTTGATAAGTAATGTAAACATGTTTTTGTAGAAAGCTATTAATTTGCTTTTTTTTTCGAGTTGAAGAATTTTAATAGGGGAGTTGAAAATTTTCGGAGACCAGCGTGACAAATCCAAAGGTACAAATGGAAGTTTAACTTAAATAAACTTAATTATTTAATTAATCCATTACTTGGTTATTTAATTAGTGATACAATAAAGGGAAGCCATAGGAACCCAGCCAAGCCATTTTCAAATCTTCCTTTCAGATATTACAGTTTTTTACAGGGGCTTTGTCTTTCATGTTCACATCTACAATTTATTTTATAGATTGTTTTATTGGAGTTTTTAGACTGTAAGAGTTCTTAATTTATTTGCTATAAATATTTATATGCTATGATTCTTTCAGTAAATCCCAATAGGTAGATGCTATAGCAAATCCTTGTTTAAATCAAACGATTAAGCAAACTATCACCTATAGAAATATAACTTGACTGGAAGAAAGCTGGCAAAATCTAACATTCATATTTTGATATAAACACTAGAGGCAGAATCCTTTCCCTGCATACTTGAGGTAAGGTTTGCACTGTCTTGATTTAAATGTGCATGAATTAAATGTTTCTAACTATAAAATACCCCTCAGCTATAGAGAATTCTCAAACAATCCCTTCTAAAGCAATCAAACAATACTCTGAGGGAGTTCAAGATCTTCTCCCCTAAATAACAGATTTGAGAAGAAGGCAGGGGAAAGCATGAATGACAATCTAGTCAACTCAAAAATATACTGAGATTGCTTCACTCTTGTAACCAACCACAATGATAGGCCAGTTCTCTTTTTGGGAAAGAGACAAGGGCTTAATGGTGGATCACATATTTTAAAGGTGAAAGTCCCAAGGTCAACTTCAGATAAAAAAATGATCACATTCCCATTAATGGGAATCGTAGAGAGCTGGTGATGCTCTCCGAAGTAAAGCAAAAAACATGACTTTGTCAGCCAAGACTTTGTCCTGGATCTATGATTTCTTCCTTCCTCTCCCCTCCCCTTTCTCTTCTACTCTCTCTTCCCCTTCCTTTCTCCCTTCCTCTCTTCTTTTCTTCCTCTTTCCCTTCCTCTCTTCTTCCCCCTCCCTCCCTCCTTTCCTCCCTTTCCCCTCCTCTCTTCTTCCAGCCCCCTCCCTCTCTTTCCCTTCCTTCCACCCCCACTATTACCCTGCCACAGTCCAGTCTTACCTTGGTTAAGAGCCCGGGCAGCATGGCCATCAAAGGCATCAAGGAAGCCACTAAGTAGGTAGAAGAATGATGCCAGCAAGGGGGAAGTTGGCATATAATAAAAAGCAATAAAAGCGAAGATTATACGAGCATAACCTGCAAAGGAAAGAAAGGCAAGCAACATAAGCCACTGTTCTTCAACCCTACACCCCATGCAGAGACTATAGTCTCCAACTCCCCAAATTTCAGCTAAATCCACCCTACAATCATCCACATTCCCCTTCCCCAAATTTCTTGAATCCCTGGTTTGTCATGTTTCTGTCACATAGACAAGAAACAAGGAAGATGTTTTAGAGACTTTTCTGGGGGAAACTACAATCTGTTCAACCATCAAATACTGTAAGTGGCTGGCCTGTTTGCTGGTGTTTTCATCAGGTTGTGGCTTCCCTTAGGGCAGTGGTTCTCAACCTTTCTAATGCCGCAACCCCATAATACAGTTCCCCATGTTGTGGTGACCCCCAACCACTTATACATCACCGGGTGCCAGGGGCGTGGCCAAAGAAAAGGGGGAAAAAATGGTGGACAGCCTTGTTTGGCGACCCCCATGAAATGGTCATTCGACCCCAAATGGGGTCCCGACCCACAGGTTGAGAACCACTGCCTTAGGGACAGGATTATCACTGCAAGAGCAATGAAATGGAAATGGATGAAAGCATTTTTTCTCAACCTTGGGTGACTTTAAAATGTCTGGCTTTTCACTCCCAGAATTCCTGGCTAGCTGGGGAATTCTGGGAGTTAGTCCAGGCATTTTAAAGTCACCCAAGGTTGAAGAAACACTGAATTAAAGAATAAGTCAGGCAAAGGGGGAAGAGATCAGAGCTAGAAGGCAAAAATATAAGCAGGTCCACTATGTCCAGCATTTTGGGACTGGCTGCCTGGCCCGCATCCCATCACTTACCAATGAGGTTGGGAACGAAGAGGAAAATATTCTCTTGCTTCATCTTGCTGACGGCAGTGGCTCTGCGCAGATCGAAGATGCTCTGCAAAACCAGCCTTAGTCCCAAGTCCAAGGCAAGGCTGAGATCAGGCGATACCCATCGCACCCCTCCCAGGCGCCCTCCCGCCGCCAGAGGCGTCCCTACCCTACCCTTCCCGGCCCCTCTTGCGCGCAAGAGGAGAGCAAAATAGCCGCCCTCCTTACAGACGTTCAGGCGATTCACTGCCGCTTCCTGGTCTGGACTGTATCTGAAGCAGGAAATGCCATTTTTAAATCGGGAGAGGGGAGCCGTTTTATTATAATGAATAATAATGTGATAACCGTTCCCTTCAATAAGGCGCCGGTCTCGTTCTTTAGCTTCAGGATTGCTATTTTGAGCTCCCTTTCTTTCTTTTCTGTCCCTCTCTGAGAGCATTTCCTGCAGTAAATGTCCTTGAGATTCCCCCAGAATTCCGGATTGGTTTAGTCCGACTTTCCAAAAGGCTAGATAAGTGAGAGGGAATCTACATTTTTTCCTTTAGTTGATCTTAGTCCGCTGCAAGATCGCTTGCAGAGTTCAGGTTTGGAAAGCCGAATTTTGCAAATCGGAAGAGATCAAAAGACGCTCTTTTAGGAACAATGATGATTTTTTTATGGTCACTATACATTTTAAATGGTTCCCTTAGTGCAGGAGTAGGCAACCTTGGCTCTTTTGCCTACTCCTGCCTTAGTGTAAGGTTTCTCAACCGTAGCCATTTGAAGATGTGTGGACTTCAACTCCCAGGATACCCCATTGCTGACTAGGGAGTTCTGGGAGTTGAAGTCCACACTTCAAATGGCTAAGGCTGGGAAACGCTGCCTAGTGGATCCTGATTTCTAGCCCAGCCAAATACATGAAAGCAAAATGAAGACATCAAACGCAGGTTCTATGAAGATTCTTATAATTTCTGAGCAAAATTCAGGGCATCCACCCTGTTTATATTCACATAAAAGTTTCAAATTGTTTGTGATAGTTGAAAGCAATGGTTTCAATATCGTGTGTTCAGTTCTGGGAATACAAAAATGATCATCTTTAATGCTTTCACATAATTTGCTGCTTTATAAAAAATAAATTATCTTCTTTTTTAAAATAAAAAAAAATCTGTTCTTTAGCATGAGGTTTGAAAATTTTACTATTTGAATATTTTTTTGAAAAAATAAGAATTATTGACTTAAAAAATGGACATGTAACTTGAAAAAATTCTAGAAATGGACACAGTGGTTGTAAAAGATTTTCAAGAGACTGATAAGAGAAATTTCTTTAAATCCAAAATTCTTTTAGTTTTTCTTTTTACAAAACCTTTAATTTGAAAATAGTATATGCTGACCAGTAATTTTACGTCACTTGGGCATATTGATTTAAAATACATGGTGTGGGAACACAATGTACACATTGGAAAATTTCACCAAATGTGACTTTTCTTGTCAAATGGTGCCCTGAGAGAAGAACAGAAGATGACTAGAGAAGCCTCCTAAACATTTAGATCTGAATACCCTAAATTGCAGGATCAATAAACAATTGATTTGGGGCCAGTCATTCTCTCTCAGCCCAACCAACTTCATATGGTTGTTGTTGGGAAAAAGAGGAGAAGGAAGTATTATGTATGTTTGCCATCTTGAATTACTTATAAGAATAAAACTCTACTAACTAAGTAACCAACCAACCCATAGTATGGTAAGAAAACAGCTGGGAAGGAAAGAGATTGGCTGGATTTGTTCATTATACTAAGCAGTTTGCTGATTATGGTTACATAATAAATCACAACTGGCTGATTTTACCCCACACATTGAACCAGGCCAAATAAACCACCTTAGGCTGAATCAATTTATTCAACTTAGCCATCCAGCCAACTGTTGTACTGAATGCTGTAGTTTTATGCATCTGTTACAGTTGTTTACTGAACAGTAGACCTTGTAGAAGAACTGAATTAATCAGTCTATCCAAAAACCACATAGAGTTTGAGAGCACTTTTCAAATTAACAAATATTAAATGTATATGCCTTCATGTTCCCAGACTTAATTTTTATTAAAGTTTATTATGGAAATAAAGATTAAGTGCTTCCAAATTTTATGCTCCAAATAGAAAAAAAGAAAGAAACATTGACTTTAGTGTGAACATTGAATAGTTGTGTGGATATAGAAATGACTTGTAGTAACTAAATGTAACACAAAAAGTTGAGGCTGTAATTGTAGTTAATACTTTATTGTACAGATAGTCCTCAACTTACAACAGTTTGTTTAGTAACTCTTGGAGGTTACAACAGAATTTTAAAAAGTGAGTTATGACTGTTTTCCATACTTATGACCATTGCAGCATCCCCAGAGTCACATGATCAAAATTCAGACGCTTGGCAACAGACTCGTATTTATGACAGTTCCAGTTTCCTGGAGTCACGTGATCCCCTTTTGGACTTTCTGACAAGCCAAATCAATGGGGGAGCCAGATTCACTTAACAATTGTACTACTGATTTAGCAACTGCAGTGATCCATTTTTCAACTGTGGTAAGAAAAGTTGTAAAATGAGGCAAAACTCAATTAACAAATATCTCACTTAGCAACAGAAATTTTGGGTGGTTGTAAGTTGAGGACTACCTGTAATGGAAAGAGTCAAAAATCAATGTTTTTGTTTTCTTCTTCCTTTTATCCTGCGTCTACCCCTTTCCCCCCCTTTTCTGATTTTTATTTTCATTGTTTTTCATACTAAAATAAGCTCCCAGATGCCTCCTCATTGCCGAAATAGCTGCAAATAAATATTTTGGCTCCATATAAAAGACCAATGGCTAGAATTTGGTTTGTCTCATTAATATTTTATTTATATTTATTTGGTAGGGGAAGAGGTGACAACCTTGGGAGATTCTTCATATCTCTTCTTAGATTGGGTCAACATTGACCTAGAATGGCTCTTGAGAAGAAATGCAAATGACTTATAACATTTTTGTCCAGCTCAACCTCTGTTGCAATAATGCTGGACCACTAATAACCGAAAGTGGTGTCCCTTTCTTTGCTTTCAGGTTTTGTAGGGAGGAAGGAAGTGGACTTCAAGCTGATAATTTCAGATTGTATCCAGAACATGCAGCTGGGCACAGTCAGCTTATCCAATATCCTTAGCTGTGGTCTCTGGCTGGTTGTTGATGGTGTCACTGTCGAAATTCTCCTGCTGCAGGGCAGCATTGCAAAGAGTCACTTTGGTCAGAAACTTGCCAGACTCAATCTGGTGGGAGAGACACTAGATCAGGATTTGCAGTTTAGGAAGTGAGGGAGGAAGTGAGGAGCAATATAGAGTCCCAACTGCCATCTTCCCCCTCACCCCTTGCAAATTATTTTCTTCTTGGCAGACAGTCTCACTATCCTGAACACAAGCAGTGGGGAATATAGGTAGTCTTCAACTTAACGACAAACATTTGAAGTTGCTAAGTGAGATCATTGTTAAGTGAATCTTGCACCATTTTACGACCTTAATGTCCCGAGGACTTCCTGTAATCAATTTTAAAATGAAGATGGTTTATATATTTATTAAATGTATATCCCACATGTCAGAATCCAATTATATTTCATCTTTAATTATCAAATATAGAAACTCCCAATTCTGCCTTCTCTGGATTCTGCCATAAGAGGGAGAGAAGGGGGAGAGCAAAGGGGCTTTATGGCCCTCACTTCCTTCAGTACACTTCAAAGGGCTGAATGATGAATGTGTGTTTATTGTGACCTCTAAGCGTTAGCATATCAAAGAAGGGTAATTGCCTTTCATGTAGTTATCTGAAGTCTCCATCCAGACGGAAGAAAGAAGAAAAGGGGTGGAATTGTGATACTTGAAACTATCACTGGAAGGGGGTTTGATTGGGTGGGACTACTGGGGAACCCCTTAAAACCTTGAATGGGAGAGCTTGAACCCCAAGTCCTGTCTAGCATGCCTGCAACCACTTCTCTTAATAAAGGATTCCTGTTGGAAGAATTATTCCAAGAGTTCTGTCTTCTTAAGATGCAAAGTGGGGTGGGTCCTTACACCACCCATCTCACCTAGAGCAGAGGTCCCCAACCTTTTGGGCACCAGGGACCGGTTCTGTGGAGAGAGGTTTTTCCGCGGACCGGAGGGGGTGTGGTTTTGTGTGCTGCCTGCATCCCATGAATGGGGCTTTGCTTGTTTGTGCGGACCAGTTGCTGGCATGCTGTGACCCAGTACTGGTCCACAGACCAGTGGTTGAGGATCATTGACATAGAGGCATTAATGTGTTAAGATGTATTGATGTATTAAAAAACAAATAAGAGTTTGGAAAGACTGCACACAATATCTGATTTTTAATAGGTTTAGTGTTTTTACAGGTAATGCAAAAATTAATTACAAGGGAGATCAGTGGATATACTCAGGTTATAGAGAAATGGTAAACAAGCTTAAATAAGGGGATCAAAAATCGATGAAATACAAGAAGTGTGATCCTGCTACTAGAGATACGTTTAATATATTTGGGAAAGAACATTCTACTTTTCTCAAATTCGTGTTGTAAGAAACCTTTAGGCTTTAGCGTGCTAGCCTTATTCCACAGGCAGCCTCCCAAATGCCATTTAGACAGAGGTTAGGAAAAGAAATTTTCAGGCTAACGTTTTTGCATTTTGTAATTTAGGAAATTAAATGAAAACGGAGTCCTACTTTTTTGTGGTGTGAGGGATTTTGGTCTCGAATCTCCACTGATTGATTCTCTTCTTCATCTGTCCCATTGTCGTCATTCTGTAATAAGAGTAAAAAGGAAATATTGGGATGAGGATCACCTACAGAACATGATCCCTCTTGGTCCTATTCTGTGGCCTTGGATCTGAGCCACTCCTGAATCCACTTTTATTAGGGTTCGGCTGATCAATTTCTAAAAGATCCCAACCACAGAAGCCTTCATTTTATTCAGAGGGACAGTTTCCTATTAGAATAGAAAGTCCATTCAAGAGACCTTATCTACACAATTATTTTTTCATTGATCTTATTACAGAGTAAATACTAAGGAACACAAATCAGTTCTCATCCAGTCTCAATGTTTCATTTTATTCCCCATAATAGAATATTCTTTATATGTGATGTAAAACAAAAAGTAAACCCCAGTCTGCTTGTGGTTTATGGCTTGCTGTATGAACTCAGGTAACCATGATTAAAGGAATTCTGGTTCAACTGTGTTTCCATTTAGTTCCTATTTCTAGTTTTGCCTGTGTCCAGAGTCCTTTCTTACAATTAACCTATATCAGCTCTCATTGTGGATCCCTACTGAAGGGAACAGGAGATGGAGGCTTTTTGGAGTAATTGTTTTGAGTAACAAGGAGCGCCTTTGATGAATGTTTCTAGTTCTTTGAAGTAAGGAAGTAAGAATGCGGATTAGACTGGCCAGAGATAGAAATTGCCCAGAAAGTTGAATTTTAGTAACCTGAAAACTCATTATACTATGGCAAACACATCTCCTGTAATTAGGTATTAACAAGATCATGCTAAGAATATTATGGGATGATATGAATTGTTACATGGAACATATAAAGTTACTGAGCATGTTCTCCAGATGCTTGATGACTCTGGTGATGATGCTGGCCAGTTGAGGAACACATTCCAAATCCAATATGTTTGTGTATCTAAAGGGATTTTTTTCCTCTTTAAGGGGTCCCTCACCTTGTATCCATGGGAGACCTTGCTTTTACTTATGCATAAATAGATATTAAATCTACTTTTCCATCTTGGATTGGCAAAGGGCACACTGCGCTAAGACATGTTTTTCACGTCTAAACAGTACTTAATATTTCCCCTGTTGTTTAGAGAAATTCTTTTAAAAATTTCCCATGCAGCTTTGAGGGTTATTTTATGTTAGCAAGGCACAATGAGTATTTAAAAGGTGATTCACATCCATCAAGCCTTCTTCTGGTTTGCGTATGGACTTCTCAAACCTGCTGGCCTTTGATCTCATGCTCCAAGCTCACTCTGGAGAACACTTGATAGGGCAGATCACCTCTCCTTTCTACTAACTTCTCTTGATGAGAAAGCCATAGTACAGGTAGTCTTACAACCATTTTTTTAAAAATGGCCATTCAAAGTTAAACAGCAGTGAAAAAAGTGACCTTTTCTCTCATTTATGACCTTTGCAGCATCTACATGAAAATGTGATCAGAATTTGGGTGCTTGGCAGCTGGTGTACCTTTCCCATGGTGGCAGCAGCCAACAATCATCATTTGCGACCTTCCCACCCAACTTCCAACAAACAGCATCAGTGGCGTAGCTGGATGTGCTTAATAACTAAGACAAAAGAAGGGCCAAATCAGATAGGACTCACTTAACAAACTGCCTTGCCTCTGGTCCCAATTCTGCTTGTAAGTCAAGGACTGCTTAATTTTCTCCACAAACCTCATCTCCACTTCATGTACAATTCAAGTTTTGACTGCCTCTCCAGTTGGTTTAAACTGCACATGTTATAGTACGCATGTCTTTCTTGCACATGTATTTAATATTGTCAGATGTTGATGTTTTACAAAGGTGATGGAACATCGCTGTCCGTTAATTGATGGGTATCCAACCTTGGCAACTTTTTAAGACATGATCTTCAGCCTCCAGAATTCCTCAGGTAACCATGGTGGCTGGAGAATTCTGGGAGTTGAAGTCCACAAGTCTTAAAGTTGCTAAAGTTGGACACCTGGGATTGGATTAGTCCTTCCTACAGCAACCCAACTGGCTCCACTTGCAAGCAAACCCTACTCTTCAGATACTACAAAATGGAACTTTGACTGCAGAAGTTTTCAAGTCTGCATAGATGTGTTTTACTTACCATTTTGCTGACACAACAGGGTTTAAAGAACTGGAGACCAGGAAATGCTCTCTGAAGACCATCATCTGCAATGTCCGGTCTGGGAAAAGAAGATTGAACCAGGATGGAAATGATAAGCCAGAGATTTGTCTCCATAAGCAACCCTCAACCCCAGCTTCTTCCACAAAGTCACTTACGGCCAGTTGCATTCAGAACCTGGGCTGGGTTCCCGTCGCACTTGGAATCCCGGCTTGCATTTGAGAACGGGGTGTAGGAGGGCTAGGGATGGCAAGAAGGGAGATACATTTAGAACAGAAATTCTCAATCTTAGCAACTTTAAGGTGAACAGACTTCAAATCCCAGAATTCCCCTGTCACCAATGCTACTTGGGGAATTCTGAGAGTAGGAGTCTGTTCATCTTAAAGTTGCCAAAGTTGAGAAACCTTGTTTTAGAAGGACTTGAATTTCTTGACAATGGGCGGGGGCTGTTAAGTAGTAGGTAGAGGGTACAGTGGTACTACTACAGAGTAAGAGGAAGTAGCAAGGATGGGCAGTTGCTTACCATTTTCTGTCCGTCGGATGATAGTGCAAAACTCAGAATATGGCATGGGGGGCTGAGAGAGTATCTGGAAGAGTCCCTGGAAGTCAGGCGGGCTCAAGAATCCTAAAAGTCGCTCAGCCAGTCCCCTTGCTGCCATGTAGCTCAGACGGGCTTGGGTCAGTGCGTGCTCTGCATGGAAACAAGCTAGCTGAAAAAAAGTGGGGAGACAGATCAGCTTGGAGCCCTGTGCTTTCCTATGGAAGACTATTCCTGTAGGCAAGTAGCCCTTGGCTTACAACATTCGTTTTGTGGCTCAAGTTACAACAGCGCTAAAAAAAGTGACTTATTTTTCACACTTATAACCATCGCAGCATCCCCATGGTTACATGATCAAAATTTGGATGCCTGGCAACTGGTTGCAGTGTCCTGGGGTCCTCTGATCCTCTTCTGACAGGCAAAGTCAATAGGGAAGCCAGCTTCATTTAACAACCATGTTATTTACTTACAGCAGTGTTTCCCAAACTTGACAATTTTAAGGCATGAGGACTTCAACTCCCAGAATTCCACAGCCAGCAATGCTGGCTGTGGAATTCTGGGAGTTGAAGTCCACATGCCTTAAAATTGTCAAGTTTGGGAAACACTGACTTACAGTAGTGCCCAAAATTTGGGAAAAGTGTACTTTTGAGGTTTGATAGCTAATAACACCACCTTTTTTTGGAGTAGTACCATAAAATTATATATCAATGGAAAGACAATTTAATCAAGAATGTAATGTCTGCCTACCTTGGAAGAATGGATACTTAAGGTGTCTAATTTAGCAGAAATGGCAAAAATCTCCGCCTATTTGAAGGATCAATCACAAGAAAAATATATTATGATTTGGAGAAGATGGATTAATTATATTCAAAAGAAATATGAAACTGATAAGTATTATCTTGCATATGTGTAGATGTTAGATAATTATTAATAGTTTTAATTATATTATTTTTGTTTTAATTTGTTAATATTTGTTTTGAAAAGGAGTTAAAGTGTGTTATGGTTTTGTTTGATAGTATAGTTGGTTTATGTTAGATAGATTATGTTTGTTTATTTGTTACCCTGTAATCAGCTCTGGGAAGTGGGGGAGGGAGGGAAGGGGTGGGAGGGGTTTATGTTATAAATTTTTTAAAACTTTTAATAATAATAATAAAAAAGAATGTAATGCAACATAGTTTGTTCAATTATCTGTACCGTATTGTATGAAAAGTTATAGCCAAATAACCAGAAAAAGGAAGCACAACTTGCTTAGGTTGATACCAGGTAGCTTTCCTTCATCTGATTGTAGCCAATGAGCATGAGTGTTTAGAGAGCCAATCAGGTGTCATGTTGTTTTGGCAATGAGCCAATCAGATCACAGTAGGATTCAGTTATTGATGTCATGTATTGGAGCTGAGAGGAGGACATTTGTCAGTGTGTTATGTGATCGCTATCAAGTTCTTTCATTTAGTGAGCTTGTAAAAGTACTTGTAATAAAATTAAAGTAATGGTGCAAAGAGTTGACTGGTTGCTCAGAAAGCAATGTAAAATATTATTATTAAGTGAACAAGGCTACAGTTATAAAGAAATTAGAAGAAAAAATGGTGGAAACTTAACCAAAGGTAGCATTTCTACTATACACTTTTCCAAAAAGGTTTCCACAATTTTGGCCGCTACTGTAAATGCAGTGATTCACTTAACGACTGTGGCAAGAAAGGTCATAAAATGGGGTGAAACTCACTTAACAACTGTCTCTCTTACCAACAGAAGTTTTGAGCTCAATTGTGGTCGTATGTCGAGGACTACCTGTAATTGGATTATTGTTGATCCTTTCACCTTTTCACTTTCACTGATACTACTTTTCACATATGGACATTTAAGCAGGTAGTTCTCGACTTACAACTGTAATGGAGCCTGCCCATCAAGTTTGTAAATTATGGTGGTCATAAAACGAGTTGGTCATGTGACTGACCCAATTATACTGACCCTTTTCTGCAGTTTTTAAGCAAAACACGGTGGTTGTTAAGCGAACCAGTGGTTTGCTATGGGTGCGGTTTTGCCAAAAATTGGACGTGCTGATTTTTGGCAAAACCATTGCAAAACCAGTCATATGACCCTGGGCCTCAGCTGTAAATGTGGCTGTGTTGCCAAGTGACCAAAGTTTGGTCATGTGACTGCAGGGGGCAGGGTGATTGTCAGAACTTCAGATTCGTGTCGCACATAGCCCCGAGGTAGGCTCATAAATGGTTGCTAAGCAAGCAGTCATATCCTTGTATATTATGCTGCACAGAATTCTTTTCTCATTTCAGTATTACTGTTTTTATGAATAGGTTTCAGGGATAGAAGGACTGGATAGCTTTGGCTTATGAATAAATGACTTTTATTCCTTTTGCACAGCTCCTAGGCTGGACTGCTACAGTTGGAAAGATGGTTCAGGTAGTCCTCCACACACAAGAGTTCGTTTAGTGACAGTTCAAATTTACAATGGCAGCGAAAAATGTAATTTATGACTGTTTTTCACAGTTACAATCTTTGCAGCATCCCCATGATCATGCTTGGCAACTGATTCACACCTACGACCATTGCCGTATCCCAGGGTCACGTGATCACATTATGTGAACTTCTGACAAGCAAAGTCAATGGGGATGCCAAATTCACTTAACAACCAGGTTACTAACTGATCAACTGCAGTGATTCACTTAACAACGGTGGCAAGAAATGGGACAAAACACACTTAACAAATGTCTCAACAACCAGCAACGTTGGGCTCAATTGCAGTCGTGGGTCGAGGACTACCTGTAAACCATTATGCTTTTAAAGTTGTTTTATGATGGGCCACGACTAAAAAAAAAATAATAATCTTTGAATTGTTTCTCTTTAACACAGTGTTTCTCAACCTTGGCAACTTGAAGAGGTATGGACTTCAATTCCCAGAATTCCCCAGCCAGCTGTGCTGGCTGGGGAATTCTAGGAGTTGAAGTCCATACCTCTTCAAGTTGCCAAGGTTGAGAAACACTGCAACAAGAGAAGGAATTCTCACTTGCACTCTTTAGGGCTGGGCTGGAAAGATTTAGGCACTCTTTAGTACCTGGGCAGATTTCTGGGCTTCCACAGAGACCTGGACCATTTGGGCAGTACCAGCCACGGTGTTGACAAGCAGCTCGGCCATGGTTTCGGAGATTCTGGGGGCGAAACTTCCTGGGAGGCTCTGATCAGGCTGAGGAGGACTGTTCATCTCCAAACCGGAGCTCTTTTCCATTTTGGATCTTAAGAAAAAAGGTTTGGGGTGGGATGGGGGGGGGGTTGGATCTTGAAGAGTCTGGATGAAAGCTTAATGGAGGCTGAAAGGGAAAACATTTCTTCACTGGGACTGTCAAAGGAGAACTTTTGAGAAGAAGACAAGGCCTCCTCTCAGCAGAAGGAATGACCAGGACATTCTCATAACAGCAGTAGCACTTAAGACTTATATGCCGCTACACGGTGCTTTACAGCCGTCTTTAAGTGGTTTTATAGAGTCAGCATATCGGCCCCAACCATCTGGCTCCTCGTTTTACCCATCTTGGAAGGATGGAAGGCTAATCTTGAGCTGGTCAGGATCGAACTGCTAGCAGTGGGCAGAATTAGCCTGCAATACTGCATTCTAACCACTGCGCCACCACGGCTCTTATAATGATCTACTTTTGAGGCATTCCCTTTGGAAAAGCCTCTCTTCCTCCTTAACATCATTTAGTCTGCAGTCTAAAGACACCGAAACTGGGTTTAACTATAGTTACAGTCCTCCCCAATAGCACTGCTGCAAAGAATCCCCATTGGGATTTGTGTGCTCTGCTGCATCAAACTTATATTCTGCATTTCAGGAGCAGCTGTTTGGCCATAGAAATTAGGTCATCCAACAAAATATTAGCAAGAATCATTTGACTCTGCTCCTTTGAACTGAATGGAGCCGATGGAGTCTCTGAGCATAAGCATAAGTCTCTATTTGTGAGATGCTTCCAAAAGATTTTTACCTCAACTTTTAGTAGTAAAGGGATCTAGGAGATCCTGGCCAGTTTATCCTATGGAAGGGATAAGGTTGAATTCTGCTAAGAGCTGTGCGCTGATGCTAACCCAATTCTGTTTTTGTCACCTTCGAGGGACCAGATAAAAATGATTTAAAGAAAACAACTAGATATTGCACAGCTTTATCTCATCTTTGGCAAATGTTTCCATTTCTTGCTGATTGATAATTTTATTGTTTTGCTTTTTGTCCCCCTGCCTCACCCCCAGTATTTTAAAGTATTGCCAGCTGTTTTTCAAGTGAGAAGAAAAATAGATTGTCCTCAGCACTGTCCTTGCCCAGAAAGAATTGAAGTAAAACAACTTTGCTTAATCTTCCAGGTCTACTTCTAAAAGAAGTTCCATGTCCTCATGACACCAGAGAACTTTGAGATGCCCAGACAATGGAGTCAGGAAATTAGCAAAACCTGATATATATGCTTTGTTATTACTGTGAGAATTTTGTCTTGGACTCTTGATCACACTGTATTCTATTTTACTGCTTTCAAATCTATTTTGTTTCATTTTATGAGTTCTATATTGCTAGCCACCTGGTCATTTTTTTGAGATGGGTGGCCATACAAATTCTTGAAACAAATGGAAAAGCACGCCTATAGAAAACTTAGAAACTGGGGTTAATTAAAATCTATCACTTGTGCCCACCTTTGGACAACTATTTGTTCCATGGGAGAAGAAAATAATTATTTGCAGATTGTTTAAGTAATATTATATTGTAAATTGGCTGCTTGCTTCTCTGGTGCTTTTAGATAAAGGAACATGGGTGAATGAGAGTAACTGGTGAGGATGAAAGGCCCTCCTAGGGGTTTCTGTAAAATATAACCAAAAAAAAAAAAAAAAAGTACATGCCAGCATGATGGTGTGGCCAAAACTCCCATATATTTTTTAATGCATATTTTGACCATAGCTACTGACTCTACTGGCTGCTACACCAAGATCTTTGAACCATTGCCATAGGAGAGCAAAAGCTACATTTACTCCATGCTTTGTTTACCTTTGGAAAATTTTGCAGCTTGGATCCCGATTGTAGGATTAATTGGTGTGATTTTCTGCTGTCCAGGAGGGGAAGGTAGCTGCTAAGAGCACAAATCCTCCACCTTTATCCTAAAGTAACACGCAGAACACAACCAGGCACACACAAGATCAGCATGCCGTGCCTGAAATTCAGATTCCCAAGACGGATTCCTGGCATCAATCGGACCTGTTGTTCCGAAATATTATGATGTAAGATCCAGCAGATCAAACATCTGGTATTTTTCTCAAGGCCCAGCGGAACTAGAAAGTCGGGACTCTGGCCACACCAAGATGCTTGGCTGTAAAGAGAGGAGTGAGAATCTGCATTTGGGAAATGTATAAAGTCACCTATCTTCGATGTAGATGCCCTCTTGCCCACTCACACACAAACCATCACCCTTTTCCTCATCAGATGCCCCAGTGTGGGAGGTGGAATGAAACCAAGCTGTGTCTCCTGTTGCTCACCAAACTGCCAGGATGCTGTTACCATGGGAATGCTTTCAGAATCCAGTTGCTAGGTGAAGTAATTCCTTATAATGCAGAAGGACCAAACTTTTGCAAACTGCCACACAGGACAGATCTGCAGAGACACAGCAGTTCCAGGATGCTGGTCATGAGTCAGAAAATGTACTTTAGAAAGGATATGAACAAGCTCAAGATTTCAAGTGAGGACAGAAACCTTTCAGGGCTGAGAGCTTTACAAGAAAAGGGCTGTTGAAATATGCCAAGCAGCAATAGAAAAGAATATTTGTAATTCAGGGAGAAGCAATCCTCAGTGCTCTCTGGGTTTGGGTCTTTTCTTGCAGACGTTTCATCACCCAACTAGGTAACATCATCAGTGCTAGAAGGGTTTGAGAGAAAATCCCAAGCTCAGAGAGCACCAAGCAACCCACAGATTTCTGAGTTTTAGCATCTTGTCCCAAAGGAACCTGCTTGAAACCTGGAGTTCTCCCCCCCCACACACACATCAAAAGACGAGAAACTCTTTTTTAAATATTCAACATTTTTATTAAAAGATTTCTCACCCCGCCCAAAGCCTCTCCCATTGGTAGCCTTCTAGAGAGCAACCAACTCCACCTTTGTGTTCTCCTTCCATGTTTACTCTCCTGTGTAAGATTCAAGCTTCCCCACCCCTCCCCTTTCTTTCTTTTTTTTAAAAAGTGTTTTATTTTCTAATACATTCCATAGGACACATATGTCTAAGTTTCCCCGCAACATTTTTCTTCATATATAAAAAAAGACATACATACACACACACACTCACATTAGTTTTTAATCACCCACACAGAGGGAGACAGGAAAAGAAAAGGGGGTGGGTGGGGCAGCACAAACAAACAAACAAAAACAAAAGAAAAAAAACAGGAAGAGGAAAACTGTACATGGGGGGAAAGTTATGGCACCAAAAACAGAAAAAAAGATTATTATTATTTTTTTAGAAACATAAGGATTATTATAATACATCAAGCCCCTCCAGCCGTATCCCTCCCTGTAACCCCATTTCTCAGTCCTAGGCAGGCAGGAGAAAGAAATCACTAAACATCTTGAAGTCATCAAAGATTCCCCTCCTCCTCCCTCCCACCCTCCCCTTAAACAAAGGGGGCCTGATTCAAGTAGAAAATGGACTTGCCAAATCTGGGACAGGGTTCTGGGAAAAACCCACCAGACAAGTTGACAGTGGAGGCAAACTTTGGGCCCAAGGATTGTGTTGGGGGAAGGAGCACTGTGGAGATTTGAAAAAAAAAAAGGGGGGGGGGGATTTGTGAATTAAGTTGTTATGTTTGGTTAGGGAAGAGGGAGATGTGCTTCAGCTGTCTTGCACTGAATTTCAGGCTCTTGTTCAAGAACAGCAAAACCTCACACGCTTGACTGTTTTTAAGAGGAGGAAGAGATGAACTGGTTTGGCCCTTCCAAGAAACTTCGATTCTGCCATCACAAATTTGGGCTCTTCTCATTTTGCGCATGGGATACCTTGCAATACCCTCCAACTGCTCTGAATGATTTTCTAGAAGCCCATGTTTGAATGAGACAAACATCCTCTCTGCTTCTTAGGACAGATGCCTCTTTCTAGGGCTCCAGAATGACTTCTCTTCCACTCCCATTTCGAAGGGTTGAGAAACTTGAAACTTTTCTTTGCAAAAAAAAAATAAATGTGGTTCTTTGTGAAATGGGTAGCATTTTTCCTCCTGTACCTAGCTAATCTGAGCTTTATTTACATAAACAGCAGATGGGACCTGGTGAAGTCCTCACTTTTGCTCACTTTAATAACTGGTCAGTCAGCCTAGTTAGATGCCCCCCCCCAACAGTGAAAATAATTGTAACGCATACAAACTAGTGTCTCAGAAGTCTACCTCAGAGGCCACCTGACATCTAGTTTTCCAATGGGCATTTTAATTTACTCAAAATTCTCCCACTTGCAATTTAAAATAGGAAAGTTCACCACCAGCTTTCCCATCGTATCTGCTGCCACCGGATAGGACCTTGACATTCTTCTCGGATGGAACTCTCTGCTGGATTAACTGCTAGAAGAAAAGAACTTTCTCCTGTGGCAGTCCTCAGTATTGGCCATCATACATTATTATTTAAAATTCAAACACTTTAGTGTTGTGAATGAACATAAGCCCATGCTTCAGAATTTGCAAGAACTGCAAAAATCTTCTTCCTACAACAGTCTTGCTGATCCTGATGCCCTCCAGAGAGGTTGAACTGTAGTTCTCTTTAGCCGTCCTGGCTGGGGTTGATGGAAGTTGCAGTCGAATGTATCTGGGGAACATCAGGCTGGTGCAGACTGTTGTGGTTTCTAGATTTTAGTGGGGAAGGGAACAGGAAGAGAATGAATCCCAAGTGACCCTCATTACCAGATTAACTTACCCTCATGAAAGAAACTGAGTTTTAGTTCTCTAGTTCCTATAAAATGCACACCCTTTCACTATATTGATTTCAGCCTTTGACAGAGGACTAAGGAAGGTCAGGCAAATCTACTAAATAAGAAAGTTACACAATTTAGTAAACCTTTCAATCGGCTGATGGGACCACTTTGGTCTCATCCTGATTTTTCTTAGGTTAATTAATCTGCCTGCCTTTCAGCGGAAAAGGAGGGTCTGTTTTTCAGCCAGGAGTAGAGATAGCTGGCATTCAACATCATTTATTAGGTCAAGTGGTCCTCGGTCTCAAATCCTGGATAGACAGCATTTAGGTTTGATCATACTGGGTTATTCTGTAATTTACAGAATGGATGTATGGCTTGAGAAGGAGAATGTGTAGGAACACAGGAAGAAATGAGATGACAATGGCACTGTGTACAATCTGAACCAACCAAGTAAAATACTCGACTCAGCTGGGTCCCTGAACTCTGCAACCGAATCTCTTATGTGCAAATATGAACCCAGGTCTGCAGAGCTGCAGATTGGAAGAGACTAACATGAGCAGGGAAGGTACCAAGGGGGTGATCAGTGACAAATATAGAGAAAACAAAAAGGCTTGAAAATAGTAAGGTGGGCAAACTACATCTAAAACAACTTGGAGGAGGTAATTTCATATAAAGGTTAGTTGCATAAGCACTAAGCTAAATCTCTTCCAGAGATCTAGATTGTGATCAGGGAACTAAATGTGCTATATGTGCGTGTTTGGGGAGAGGTCCAGTCCAAAGCCCCTTGTTACAAGAACTGGTAATTGTTGGATGCTTCTTCCATAAGAGAGGAGAGTGAGGGAGGAAAGACAATGTTATAAGATGAAGGGTTGACCGTTAACAGATGATGCCCAGACTAGGGTGGTCTTAGGGACACATCTCAAAACAGACAGTGAGGTTGTGGAGGGAGGGCACTGATTAATATCTACATTCGGATCATGATTGGGATAAAAAGAGTTGAAAACTCATTTGTTCTCCCAATCACGCGGGACCAGCATGATGCCAAGACAGTCTCCAGAGCTGGAGTAGGCCCCTGATTGAGAAAAAGAAGGCAATGCAGATTAAGAGCCCAGAGTAGCCTGTCCTATACATTTCCCTCTCCCATCTGTGGGTTAGAGTAAGTTAAGGAAGGTACACAGAAGCAGATTAAATTCTGTCATCTCCTCCTGTCTGTGAATTTGGGCAGGAACAAAAGCCAGTGTCTATGCCCAAGATGCAAAGTTCTTCACTATCACTCTGAAAATTTCTAAGCATGCAAGATTAGCCCCACCATCACTGCAAATCCAGGATTCTCTCCAATTTCTAGGCCTGTTTGTTCCTCTCGCTAGCCATGCTGACTTAAAGGAACCCCTGGTCTTGGGAGAGGAAGAAGCAGGGTTTCTGGCTGCAGCAGCTCCAATTACACCCACAAACAAGCCACAGTGCACAATTAAAAATTCTGGATTTGTTGTATTGTGGGAGTGTTTTTCTTTTCGTCTTCTAAAAAGAAGAGATTATTCAGCCACACCCTGAAGAGATAACTGTATCTCCATTGCTGGAACACTATTCTTGGTCTGTCTTCATCTACAGATTGTGGCGACGCTGGGGGAGCAGCCGATAGCCATTAGGGACACAAGAATAAACTGCCAACATCATGTTCGCAGCTTCATTGTCTCTATCCATTTTGGGGGGGGGGATAGAAAACCACGATCTGAGGAGGCCCCAGCTATGCTCCAGAGGACGAGAATTCAACCTTCCATCTCACAGTCCAACCTTCTCCTGGTGATTGACAACTCAAAAGGCTACTGATGATGACCGAGAGCCTTCCACTGTGGTCCAGTTTCACAGCATCTCCCATTTTTGTTTTTTTAACTTATCGACCCCGGATAACATGCCCCGCCTCCCTCCCTTTTTCACCAGCCATTCCCCCATTTGCCTCCAGCCAAGTCTCCCTGTTCTCTACCAATCACTTCACGAGTAGGAAAAATGTGACCCGTTGAGGATGTGAGAAGTGACGCTGGCTGAGCGGCTAATGCCCTGGTCCGACTGGCCGCCAGAAGCTGTGCGCCGCAGGGGTTGGGGGCTGTTTCTCAGCATGACCACATTGGAGCGGCCACTAGGAGCCGAGGAGGAAGAGGAAGAGGAGGAGGGAGATGAGGAAGGGGGATGAAGCCAGGCGGAAGGGGGCGGGGCAAGCATGGGAGGTTGCCTCCATGCGTGAGGCGCACCAGCTGTATTCTGAACTCCATGGCTCCAATGGGAGCCGCTGCGGGGAACAGGGCGGGAGGGCCAGGGCTGAGGAGGGGCCGTGTAGCCTTGGTTGAAGGCTTCAGCTGGAATGCCTGTGAGTGCCATATTGCTGAATCCCAGACGCATACTTTCAGAGTCGAAGGCCTCTATCTCCCGGGCCTGGCGCTCCAAGAGGCTGCGGATGCGATCGGAGCGTTCATTCTGCAAGGCCAACATCTCCTCCTCGATCTGGAGAAGGAAACAAAACCAAAAAATGTACCCATGACTTCAAGGGCAAGAATCCACAAACACACTTGCTTGGACACCAGCGCAGTGGTGAGAAGCAGCCCTTTGTCTCACTCAGTAGCCAGCAAGGATACGCTGCAGATAATCTTCTGTTTACAACCATTTGTTTAGTGGCCATTCGAAGTTAACAACGGATCTGAAAAAAGTGACTTAAGATTGGTTTTTGCACTTACGACTGTTGCAGCATCGCCATGGTCATGTAATCAAAATTTGGGCACTTGGCAACTGGCATGTACTTATGACTGCTGCACTATCCTGGGCTCATATGAATACCATTTGTAACCTTCCCAGCCAGCTTCCGACAAAGTCAACGGGAGAAGCCAGATTCACTAAATGACTGCATGATTCATTTAACAACTATGGCAAAAAGGTCATAAAATGGGGCCAAGGTAACCTGCTTTGCTTAGCAACAGAAATTTGAGGCTCAGTTGTAAGTCGAGAAATACCTGTACCAAGATTATTGAAAACTGGAAGTTGGATAAATTGCTTAATGAGGAACTGAGACCTAGCACTTAACACTTATCTGTCCTAAATTAGAAGTAACAGAGATTCCTGGCACTTGTCCCCAAAAGGGAATATGGGATGTGGCATATGTACTCAAATCCTCAGTTTCAATCATGCAACTTCATAGTTGAAACTAAAGAAGCAAAAAAGATAACGGAGATAGGACTTTTAGCTTAGATTAATTTAAAAAAAAAAAAAACCAGAACAAGGCAACCCCATTTGCAAGAGATTTGCATTCCTAGAAATGCAAATTCCTCAGGAATTGAGGAATTAAAAGTGAAATAATTGCTTTTGTCATGCTAGAGTCTCAGGAGCATCACGGTCTGATCCCATGAGAGAACTTTTGCAAAGACAGGAGAAGCGTGTAATTGAAGTGCCCCAATAATGCTTATTCCCAGCTATTTTTCTATGTTAAAAAAAAGGCATTTAGTGCTTTATGAAAACACAGTTCAGCATTGTTTTGCTGCCACAGCTGAAATCATCTTGGCTAGTAGGGAACAGGAGTTATATATCTCTTTTGTTATTCAGAATTGTGGACACCAAACAAAACCTGACCTATGAATGCCTCCAATTCATGTAGGAGGAAGAGGAGTTCTAAATCCAGAATAGAAAAATGGCATTTGAAAATGGTTGGGAGCAGAAGGAGAGAAGTAACTTAATTTCAATAGCCGCAGAAGTACAAAACTACCACTGATCTGAAGAACAGAAAATAGAAGAGGATAATCCTAAAATTCCACTGAGTTTTTCTTACTCAAAGCAACCGTACAGATAGTGCTCGACCTGCAACCATTTGTTTAGAGCAGTGATTCTCAATCTGTGGGCCGGGACCCCATTTGGGGTCGAACGACCATTTCACGGGAGTTGCCAAACAATGCAGTCCGCCATTTTTCCCACCTTTTCCTTAGCTGTGCTACTCCCTTTTATTCTGTTGGCTTTTGAAAGCCAATAGAATAGACTCTCTTGAATAGAGTCTAATTTTATTGGCTTTCAAAAGCCAATAGGAATTGTCCAGGCTGTCTCTGCCCTGCTGAGTCCGCCAAAAGTCCCATTCTGCAAACGGTGCTGCACCAGTTGAGTAGTCCTCGACTTACAACCGGTTGAGTAGTCCTCGACTTACGACCAGTTGGGAGTCGCGGCATTAAAAAGGTTGAGAACCATTCGTTTAGAGACTATTTGAAGTTACAACAATACTGATTCACTTAACAACCATGTCACTATCTT